GTAGGTGCCGCTGCCGCTGCCGCTGCTGCTGGCGCCGGTGCTGGTGGTTATGACTATGAGGATGTTGACAGGAAGGATAAGGGTTGTGACCGTGACGGCGGTCATGTGCAATGGTGGTGATCACGTATTGCTTTATGACTAGTTGCAATGCAGATGCTACTTTAGGAATCTAGGCATCAGCAGACCAGACACACAAACTAGAAGGGGTTGTTGTCGTAGTTATCGCGTGTCACACAGGCAACCGAGTGAACATTACATTAAACATCCACCACAGCACGAATCACACCTAACCCCGGCGTTCGGCCGACCGCTCTGGAGATTCGCAGCCGATGCAGGGCTGATATTCATGATGAAACCAGAAACCTAAAACGTAAACAAAGCGTTAAGCCATACTCAGCCGGGTCGCGGGCTCAGTTCCTTTGCGAGGCCTTTGGGGAGCCCGCGGCCTTTGAATCGTGTCACGGGATGGCTCGGGATCCCGGCTCCAGGAGTCCAAGCGGGGTTTTGAGCTCTTTGGATCGCTGGGGGGGGGGGGGTTGGGGCATGGGCTTTCAGGACATCCGGGGGTGCAGTGGCAACACTTCAATCAGGTGCCAAGCCTTCTCGTCTTGGCCATCAAGCCAGTCTTGGGACCCGTCATTATCTAGCCTATATGCTTACATGGATTTGCTGCTAAGATGTGAACATGACGTGGCAATAACGATCACAACATGACATTGAGAATCGCCTCCAGTAGGCCACGGGCAACACAGCCCAACAGTGTCCCCAAGCCAAAAGCATCAAACACCTGAACGGGAAAAACGCAGACAGCGCCAGGCAACCCATGGCAGCAGCCGGCATCTCTGCTGGAATGCAGTGGCCGTCCATGGCTACAACGCCCTGAGAAAGGACTCCAAAAAGTTCAAGGCTCCTACAAAGCCATAATTGCTGCGTCACAGCCGCACATTCATGGATACTGGTTCATACAGCTGAACAAAGTTTTGTATGCTTAGGCATCGCTGGCCAAAATAAAATCGAGAACATGGTTGAAGCTGCTTCAATGACCCACTCCGTTTCGTTTAGTACTGGTAGCGTTTGTAAGGGCGGTGGGCTCCTCGGACGAAACGCTCCTAGAAGTGCCTGTGTCCCCCGAAGACATTCCACACCTCACTGCAACACATGCAGTAGGCGCGTCCCATTACCACTGTAGACACACTGTAACCCACAAGTTGCAATTGTCGTCCAAACTTCAATCCCCAGGCCAGCAATCCACGCCGTACATCCCAAAACTCCCAATATCGCCAAGCATAAATACAAGAGGTCGTCGTCCCGATACGTCAGTTCAACACCAAATGCAAGGCAGGTTGAAAAATCCTTTGGCTGATCAGCTTTCCGCTAAAGAGCATGGTGTGTGATCGCACTCCTACCAAAAACCGTCCCTTCTAATCCAGACCAACCCAACAGTAACTAGGACGGCTCGAGCCAGCTTGCGATCACAGCCTCACGCTTGCTCTGGCATGGGAGCGAGCAGTCTCAGAGGAATTTAAGCGAACGTGTATGCGTCCGAACGAAACTCACCAAAAAATCCTACTGCTACTACTACTACTACTACTACTACTACTACTACCACTACTGCTCCTACTGCTACTCCTACTCCTACTCCTACTCCTACTCCTACTCCTACTCCTACTCCTACTCCTACTCCTACTCCTACTGCTACTGCTACTGCTACTGCTACTGCTACTGCTGCTGCTGCTGCTACTGCTACTGCTACTACCTACCTACCTACCTACCTACCTAACCTACCTAACCTACCTAACCTACCTAACCTACCTAACCTACCTAACCTACCTAACCTACCTAACCTACCTAACCTACCTAACCTACCTAACCTACCTACACCACCACCACCACCACCACCACCACCACCACCACCACCACGACCATGCAGCTTTTGCATGACTCGGCGGATTCGTTCTGGACTTCTGCGCTAGAAACACCAAGCTCTTGACATCAAGCGGCTGCTGGCCAGGCCATGCACTCCAAATCCAGTCTCCTGACACGTTGTGAAGTTTTAGGTGAACCAGCTGCAGGAATTTGTTTGTCACGCAACTCATCCCTACACTGGCTGATCCTGGCTGCTTGTTGCGCTCACGCCTGCTCTTATGGAAGCTGCTATTCCCCACCCCCACCCGCCCACTCCGCACCCACCCCACCCAAGCTGTTGCGAGCTTTAAGGGCCTTGTTGATACGGCGCGCCTTCAGACCCATGATTCGATGGAGGATTAGTGCCGTGTGGGAGTTTCATAGGGTGAAGGGATGATGAGTGGCCCCCCCCATTGCCCAAAATCAACAATACGCTGGTTTGTGCGCTTCGAAGTAAAGGTCCTAAGAGGGCTCAATCTGTCCTAACACTCCACATTAGCTGCGATGAACCTCACCGGGTACCTCGAATCCAAGTGGAAGCAAGGGACCGGACGTGAGATGCAAGACTCTTGCGGTTCATCCAGTTGTGACACTGGGATCAAGCAGCTGCAGCTGTCGTGCCGTTGTTTGAGCAGAATGGCAGAATGATCGAAGCATCATGTTTTGTGTACAAGTGCGGGCTCGGCTGTAGCGGGAGCAGCAGAGAAGCACTATCGGATGAGTCGAGCAGAAGCCTGTAGAAGTTCAATCCTCTGCAGAAGCCCAAGCTTTGGAAATTGACCCCGAGCCTGAAGCAAACCATGCGTGGCCTTCACTTGAGTCGCGCCACATCCCATGACCACCATGACACAGCCATTGCTGTATATATCGCGGCAGTCGTACAGGATCCCAGGATTAGAAGACGGACCAGCTATTTCTGAGCACACGAGCTATACCCTTACAACCTTCTGCTGAAACACCGAAATGTAATCCTTCCAGGCTGAACATGTAAGGGCTCGAGTAGAGACTGGCCCCTGTGGGTGTTGCAGTCAGCTTTGCCGAAACTTCGCTGTGTGCTTCACACCTCTACAACACATTTCGTCTTTTGTGTTCTGACGCTCACGTACCACTCAAACATGTGCCTACTTGCAATGCTGCATCCGGAGCTTCTTCTTGGAGTGCATGCGACAAGGCTGTGGATTGCAAATTGCAGCTCGACGGACAACGTCAAAATCTCGCCTGCTACATGCTACTTCATGTTGTCGGAATTGCGTAACCCTCGTGGTAAAATCAATCGCGGTGAAAGCTTCATCAAGCCTTGATTGGCAGCCAGTCACCACCAAATCTCATATAGAAAACTCAAAAGCAGTGCATGGCAAGCTGTTTACATGGATTCACATTCGGCCACGAACATAGTACTTCATTGGAGACGCTACCACGAACAGTATTGGAACCCGAAAGCCCTCAAGAATCCTTTGTGCTGGGGTGCTTCTTGGATGTAGACTTCCTCGACCCTAGCTTGGGAGAACAATTCAGTTTCTTGCTCGAGACGGCCTTTGCACAAACTGCGTATGTTCAGGACCCTCAAGCACCGGCGAGCGCTTTCTCCCCACTACTCGCTGAAGAGGTCAGAGTAGAAAAGTAGATTGATCGATGCGACCACACCTCAGGAGTGCAAGTCCGAAACAATTTCAAGTGGTGTTGGGGTTAAAACTGAGGTATGCCTCCTGCCTCGGTGTTGCGGATCAATGGCTTGCTGCGATGTTCCTCTGATTCTTCCGTAGTCAAACAAAGGCACGATGCTGAAACCTGCAGCCTCCTCCTGAAAGGCGAAGTTGCGCAACAAAGATATTGCGAAGCCTTGCTGCCTTCAGCCCCACGGTGGGAGCTCGGCCAAAAAGCTGCGGAACTTTCCGAACCCACCTGAAGAGACAACCTGTTAAAGGCCCCATTCGGGACGTTTGCCCCCCAATACCTAAACCCGAAATCCCTTGAACCCAAACACCAGAGTCCTGAACCCTCAGCCTCAACCCCAAATCCCTAAACCTTTAAACCCAAAGACCTAAACTCGCCCCGAGGACTTGAAGCCCTAAACCCTTAAACCCGAAACCCTAAGCTGCGGATTCTTTATTGCTTATGGGAAGCTCTCTAAATTAACGGCCCCTTTTAGGGACCCCAAAAACCCTAAAAACCCTAAAACCCTCGGCTTCGGACAGAAGGTACTCCCGGGCGAGTTTGCGAGCCCGTAACAAGGGAGGGCTGCTGCCTCGGCCAGTCGACGACTTCGCTTCGAACCGAGGGGATACTGTCAAGATACTAATGAGAAAAGGATACTGAGGGTAGAACCATGGGAATGAGGATAACAATAGTACTACTGATACTAACACTGATAGCGATAGTAGTTAAGTAGCAAGAAAAAGAACAATGACAATAGCAATCACAATAGCCATAGCAATAGTAATAATAGAACTAGCAACGATCACAATAACAACCGTACTAATTAGCTAGCAGTAGTCGGAATAGGAACAGAAGAAGAAAGGCAAAGCGATACCCGGCTAGGATGAAAAAACCAAACCACAGTCTAATTACGAGGTGAAGGAAGCTTCTGCTGACGGATGGCATGGTAGGGGTTTTACAGTAGTACCCAAATTAGCATTTGTTGCACTCAGATACCTCGGAACTCCGGAGTTTGCATCCCCACGGCCCCAAGACAGCTCAGGGCTAGGGGTTGAAACTTCCGATGATTGATTCTGCTTTCAGGGGTGTGCGACCGTCTCATGCCTGGAAGCTTGGGGCATCTTCTGGCTTGGCACTATGCAGGTCGTTTCGGAGGCTTCGTGAGTTTGGGCCATTTCGGATGGGCTGTATGTAGGGCTGAGGGCTGCGGGTTCACGGTTCAATTGTTGGAGCTGGTGGAGGTTTAGGTTTGTTGGGCCGCGGTCTTTGCGCATGGTGGCTGTAGGTTTCAGGCTTAGGGGGATGGCATGTAGCGTTGGGGATTTCGCAAAGAGCTTCGTCATGCTTTGCAGGGTTTTGCGAGCTTCTGGAGGAGCTTCAAGTTCTGGTCTCAAGCAGCACACAGAAGACTAAAGCTGGGCAAGATCGTGAGGCACGGAACGTTCCTGCACTGCGGTAAGGAGCTAAAGGGATCATACCTAGAACTTCATGGTTCCTGAACTACAGACTATGGCTACGGTGTTGACTTGCTAGTTAATGCTTGAAGACTACAATGGTCACGAATCATTCGTAAGCCTACCAGCCAGCCCGTGTGTACAGCAAGGCAGTTCGGGGATGGGTACACTTGAGAGAGTCGCTGCTGCCTTCTATGATGGTACTTGCCAGGGAACTGACTGAAGCTAGGCTAGGGCGGCGAGGGGCATACAGTCATAGCACTTCCAAGGAAGCGGCCCTGTACAGCTTCTCGTGCAACTTAGACTCACAGCTCGAAACAGTCCAAAGTCGAAACGAAAGCCCACCCGACGTTGGAGGTTCATGGCACGTCGTGCAACAAGGGCAGCCGGGCGTATTTCGAGCATCCGGCAGCCTTGTCTCTCAAGTGAGCGGTAGGTGCGAAACCTGTCAGGATGAGCTCATCAGATATCAGCTGGCAACGGTATACAACCTCCCCCTGCGCCATTCAGAACTTGCCGTTGTCGGCGTGGGGTTTCTCCACGTCATCGTCGACGTGGTGGCAGCGCATGGCCTCCCACAGGTGAGGGCTTGAGTGCTGATGTTTCGGGAAGCATCCGAATGAGGAGGGTGGGGATGAGCACGAGGGTGAAAATGACGATGGTGATGATGATGATGATGATGATAACGATGATGAGGAGCGGGGGAGGAGAGTTTGCTGCTGGCATCGCTGATGACATGTACTCGCAGCAATTCTGGAGGTCGATTGCAGGTTGCACTACCATAACCAGCAGCATGGCAAACTCTCCTGCCGGTATCAGACAAGAAGACAAGGAGGACGCCAGACCTTTAGGACTTTAGGTCGAGATGCCAGAAAAGAATGCTTTTGGAGGAAATTCCTCCTTACAATCGTGGGGCATGGAGCATCCCAGAAACATACACCACCCCCTAGTTCACGACTATTCTTCACATTATAACAAAAGGCCCAGTAGGGTTCAAGCGGAAATATGCGTATTGGCATGTTGGAGCTCTTGCGCCTGGGGCACCAAGTAGTTGTACCAGACCGGCAAGACGGAAAGAGATACAAATACTGCCATGCAGACCTCGGAAGCTTTCTTGGGCTGGCAGCTCCTCGGCTTTCTGTGAGTTTCAGCTGGTTTGTTCGACATTGGTCTAAGTCTAGCTACGAAGATTCATTGCTGATGTGTATTGAACTTAGATCTGGAGGAATTCGACGTGCTCGTTCTGATGCTCTTACGGCCTTCAAGCCAAGCAAGTTCCGGGTCTGCCCCGAGACTCGCAGGTCACAGTCACTGAAGAGTCAATGGCACAATTTCATCAATCGCATTCCTCTGCAAGTCGCTTTGCTGGATGCTGAAAGGTAGTGGTCTTGTCTCTTGCGTTCATAAGTCATAAGCTACCTGAGTCAAGGCAGCGATGCAACGTTCAGTCCGGCAGACGCAGTACATCGTTTCACAGCGCAAAATGCATAGACGGGGCCAGTCTTTTGGGGGCTTGTGAACACTTGGGGATTGTTGAGACGAGCTTTGCTTCGTAGATGCCCTTGAAAGCTAAATTTGTGCTCCTTCTGAAGAACACATATCCGAAGAACATACTGCAAAAAGATGACAACATATTCTTAAGGGCTCAGTCAGCAATATCAAAGTTGCTGTACTCCTAGACCTAAATCCGAAGCAAGTCAAGCCGGTTGTTTTAGGACTGGGCATCCGCAAACCGGGGGGCCTTGGCAATGACGTAGTGTCCGTACCAGCCCTGTGTCATGTGTACCTTTGTCTTGGTTCGAAACTTAGGGCCATGACGATTTTGTTAGGATCACGTGCGCTCCGCTCTTCAGGGTTAGGGTCTAGAAGTCTTAGGAGTGCTTGCGTCTTGGTCTTCCGCCTTATTGTAATTTGGCCCCAGGCGGTTTTTGATTGCGAAGTCCAGCACAGGGCTTTCTGAATGATGTTCACTCCGGGCGGTTCCTTGAGCGGGGGGTGTTCTGATGCACAATACAAAAGCGAAGGTAGCAAACCAACGGCCACGTCGCGTTTCCCTGGAAGAATACTGACAGGCTGAGGAAATGTGCAACTCTTCGGACTGCTGGGAAGCCTTTGCACGTGTGTTCGATCCGGCATACCAGTATTCACGTAGGGGATTCTGCTAGGGAGTGAGTTCCCGTGCTCTTTGCCTATCTTGGCACTCCGGACCCACTTGCAGTTGTGCCGGATTGCTCTACATTCAGGTCCGAGCAAACAGAACTACCAGTGAAACACACGAAACCAAGCAACATGCTGACAGATTGAGTGGATGCAAGGCACATGGCCACCAGGGGCCACAGCATTCCAAGTTGCGTCAACCATGTTCAACGTTGACTTCGCGAAACCTAACCACCGCAAGAGTGGCCTGGGCCTTGCCCCCTGCAGCACCCCAAGCATCCCTGCAAAGACTAGGTGCAGTGAGCGATTCGAAGGCCTTATCCCATGCCAGACCCACGACGATGGCGGCAGCACTGGCGATACAGTGCTGCACTTCCTCTGCCTCATAAACACAGCCGAGATGGGACAACAAGAAACGGACGAGATTGAGCTCATGCGTAATCCAGCTTACGTACCTGTATCAAGAACCCTTACGTACATAGAAACCTATTATTACCCCTTTACTGATCATCGGAGCTCAGAGAACGATTGATCCCAGTGTGAACGTTACTAGGCGGATTCTTCAACACAACGTGTCCTGAACTCCCCGAAACCCTAGTATGTCTCCTTTGCCTCCTGATCTTCGACGTACCTCGGCAAGACAACGTTCGCCAAGACCTGGGCAGGAGCCGGGAAGAGCAGGCTGAACAGCTTCGAGCCCTGAAGCCCGTGGCCCCCACACCCACTAGAAAGACAGCAGGCCTGTCACATCCTAGAGAATGAAAACGCTCATACTCGGGCTGACACGACTCCTCGCACTTGGCCTTCTACGCCTACAGCTACCACTACAACTCCTGCTGACACAACGTCGATGACGACGACGAGGACCGCCCCCACCATCAGCACTTACTCCCAGATTCACAGAAACCCCAACAAAGCGTAGAAAGGCCAGACCAAGATGCTGTTGACAGGAAGGCCAGCCAAGTAAGAGGAAATGCCACGACGACGTAGGTGTCCATGAGCGTGCCTTGGCGCTGTAGGGATCATGATTTGCGATGCTTCGAGGCTACCATGTGTGACATACGACTTTGGTGTCTAGGGTTTGGGGGGGCTGTGCCAAACGATCATAGGACCAAAACCAGAGCTAAATGTCAGCTGGAACAGGTGTGCAGGCGAGCGACTAGGACAGCCCACGTGCCATGAGCACTGCGCGGCCAGCATGTGACAGCTAAGAATCCCAAAACTCAGAAGCTCGGAGACGCTTCATCTTAAACAAGCAGCCGGACGCAGGAGTAAACATGGAGAGCTTCGGAAGGCAGGGGATGCTGTGTAGTTTGGGTTTCAGATTTCAGGCCAGGTGCAATGCGGACGCACCATCAGGCCTGCGCACCGCAAAAGGCACCAGGCGAAGGCTGCCGAGAAGGATCCTCCCAAGAGTTCAACAAACGGAATTCTGGGTTTGGAAAATTTACGCTTCAAGTCTCAGGGCTTTGGGTTTAGACTGAATGTCGAGATTCGGCTGCTTAGGATGCATGTATGTCTGCGCATGTGTATGTAAATGTGTATGCGTATCTCTCTATCTATTTATATGGGAGTGCACCGCACCCATTGATTCAATGCTCTACACGTCACCCTTGACGCAGCCTGACAGCATCTCCAAGTCCGGAGCCATCCAGCCCGGGAAACACCCGGCGCTCTTCTCCACGACGATGACAAGCACGACAAAGCCTCAGATGAAAAAACATCCGAAGCAGTTGGAGGAGCCTTGAACGAAAGGTGTATTGCATAGCTGGAAGCCCGTGAGCGTATGTAGGTAGTGATGTATATGTATACACATGGACGTGCTGTATACATACATTACCTATGTATACACATGTGCCATATAAATAGCATATTATGTACATGCACATATACATATGCGTGTATATACACATATACACATACATGTACATGTTCGCCTGCTGGATTAATGCAAGCATGTGTTGTACATGAGCGTGTGCGCACCTCTGTACAGCAATCGACTATTTCCTGTCTACAAATCTTCGTACATGTGCTCAACATCTTAAACCCCTAAGTGGATAGGTATGAATACCTGGCCAGCTGTCCGGGCTCGTGCGTGAGGAGTATTTGCAGTTGCAGGGCCCAGGGTTGGCTTCCCAAGGTACTTAGAGACTTCTTGGTGCCAGCTCAGTGAGTGGAATCCATCATCCCGGACTTCAAGAGTGGGCAACTTCCTAAACACGACTACGAGCGGTTCTTTGTGAGTCAGTAGATTATGACCAACCTGCCATACCAGTAACGAAACTGGTTGACGAGACTAGTATAGCAGCAGCTATACTAGCAATAACTCGAATAACATATGAAGGCCTCCAGAGTGCTTGCTACATCAATGAGCGTGATATTGCTGATACTTTCTGCAAACGAAAAAGCCGCAGCAATCCGAACGAGGGCTGACAATGATAACAAGATTCGCGATTGCGATGATTTACCGGAGCAATCACCTCAACCCCCAAACCTGAAAGCCCTCGTAAAACCCCAGAAGCCCTAAACCCCTCAAGCCCCAGAAATCCCAAACTCAGAATGCCAAAATGCGATGCACTCCGAAAGGCCACAGCTCCATCCGAGCACCGCCAGCGTCAATGGCCAGTCCCAGGGGTCCGGTTTCACCAACAGGCCCTGGGATTCGGGAGTGTTCAGGGCTTCAGTGTCTTGTGGATCGGATGTAGGGCCCTTAGGGGTTTGGGTATGGCTGGGGGCCTCTGGCGATTTAGGATGTGTTGCTCGCTACTTCGTTGCGTTCCACCGAAGTATCCCCGAAAATCCCCGAAGCTTCCTCCTCATCCCCGGACTTCCAACCGGACCCAGTGGAACCCGAGGCGGCCTCGGTGGAGTGCATGTGGCCGGTGTGGAGGTAGAGGACGAGCTGCGGTCGGATTAGCCCGGTTTAGGGGCATCGGGCTGACCATCTGCATTTCGCAAAGGCACTACGGCACTAGCACTTCATGCACAGAAAGTACAGAGCAGCCATCTGTTCACAGACAGTCGTATGTATGCTAAAGCACCGAGCTGCCACGGCAAACAGAAGAAGACAACTTGCACCACGGTAGCATCATAATCAGCACCAGCCCTGAAGATCAAAAGCATAAGATCTCCTACATGCCTGCCACAAGCACAAAGGAAGCTGCATGTTGCTGCTGCCTCTCCTGCTGATGCAGCGCTGCTGGTGTTCTTCATACTGTTTTGCTCTTTCGTTTGCTCCTGCTACGTGTCTTCAGCTGGCCCCTGCAAAGCTTGGAAACCCAAAGCCCAGGGGCTCAAACCCCGCCTGCATCATGAGGAAGCCCATGACCTGGGCTAGATAGAGGTGATGGTTCTTACCTTTGCAATCCCTGATGGTGCCCAGAGTTTAGGCTTTAGGATATCCCGATTTGTGGGTATTGGCGTCTTGGGTACAGAGTTAGGGGTCCAGATTCCGGGTTCTGACCCTAGTGGTTTGCGTTCACGTGGGTCAATGAAGCGCAACCTGAAGGGATTATGGCAAAGCTATCTACATACTGAAGAGCAACCGCAGACGAAAGTGCTAGAAATAAATTTGTAAAGCCTCACGCAACCCGTTCCCAACCCGCTATATGCATGCACGCATGCATACATACATACGTATATATATATATATATATATATATATATATATGAACATATGTATTTACTTATACAACCCAAGAAAAGACTATAAAACCCCTATGTAGCTGACTTCAAGACCCCCCCCCCCCCCCGAAGACAAGGCCAGAAGGCAAGGCCAGCCCCGTCGAGGAAAGCCTCTTCGGCGAAGTGGTGCCAGTGGCACTGCCATCTGCGTGTTCGAGGCTCCAGTGCTTAGGGTCTAGGGTGTTGGGATTAAGGATGAGGGTTTAGGGTGTTGGTATAGGGGCTGTGTCCGGTTGTACTTGATCCGGAGTTTAGCGGGTGCCGGCTCATGCTCCAGAGAATCATCAAGAGCGACTCGGGTGTCTCTAGATGTGTCCATAGGACCCAACATATCCAGGCTGCAAGCACCTTGATCGGATTCCTGAAGGTCCTAGTCCGTAGGCCTGAAAGATGGAATGGACAGAACCCGATGCCACGGCCTCACTTTCCACTCTTCTTCCCCGCCGGTCCGGAACATCAGCCCACTGGGATCCGCAAACAGAACACCCTCGGCTCGTGTTAAAGAACTTGGTTTAGGTTACCATGATAAGGAAAGAAAGTTATCTACTATCTCTACTGCAAGTCTCGAAGTCGGACTGAACAAGAACTGAGAATCAGTGTCCGGAAGACGCACTTGCACTTCTCGTGGCTTTCCGGTCCTGTGACTTCAGGGTATCCGCCGTACGGGTTGGAGGGTTCAGGTTCAGGTTCCACAGGCGTACAAGGCGTACAATCAAAAAACGCCAGGAGTCGTTGCATCTGGGTCATCTGGGTTGAAGGCAATGACAACGTGGCGCTCGCCCAGCATGGAGCTGCCCCCAGACGACACAAGCCCACTTCGACCGCTTTGGCTTTGCTCACTGTCTTCACTGTCCGACCCATCTCTGCCGCCTCGACGGCTCCACTGAGCTTGGATCTCCCGGCCGATCTCACAAGGAAACCTTCGCCATTGCTTGCCGGATTTCCGGTACTCCCACTGCACTTCGTCAGGTCTTGTGATGTACTGCGCACGCAAGCGCTCCGCGACGAAGACAGAGCCCCTGAGCATAACGGCCGCCCAGGGAAGGACCTCAGCTCATCAAGCGCCTTTGGCCAAGGAAGGCTTCCCGCTTCAAGGGCAGCTACCGACAAGATGGCGCCCTATGCTGCCGAGCAGCTAAGGTGCACTTCCATGGATTGTCCCTCACCTGGGATGGCTGCTACTTACTTCTGCTACTCCTACTCTACCCCTACCACTCCTACTACGGCTACTACGCCTGCTACTACCCGTACTCCTACTACTACTCCTACTACGGAGCACCACTCCTAATGATCCTCCTCCTACTCCTGCTATTCCTAATACTCCTGCCAGTCTTACAAGTCCCACTAGTCCTACTACTCCTACTACTCCTACCACTCCTACTCCCCCCCTACTACTACTACTACTACTACTTTTGACTTTTGACTTTGCATCGCAGCAACGTCGAGCGGTGCTATGCGCCGGTGGACCAAACCTGCAAGGTTCGGCTGCTCCACGCCGTATGAGCGATAGCAGCAATGCTATTGTAGCATCGTCCATGACAAAACAAACTACTCGGGAGTAAATCATGTGACCCCGTGCCGAAGCACAAAGCAGATCATCTTCCGTTTGTACGGATCACGTTCATGAAACACTACTGGCCATCTGGCGAAGCCCTATTAGATATCCATTACTGTTGACCAACTGCTCCTCAGCAGAGCCCTCACTCAAAGGAACATTGTCGTCAGTAAGATGAAAAACATAATCATCGCATGGTTCACCAGCTAGGCCCGTACGCAAGCCAGTCAGTGCCGCGCGATAGTGGCCTGAGCAAGGTTCAGCTCCCAAATGAAAAACCACTGCCATTACCTCATACTGTACTGTATGTGTTGAGTCGTCGACTTGATTGCAGAAGCACGGGATGCGAACAATCGAGCCTGCCACAATGGAGACCGATTCGAAATTCTTGACTGTGTCTCCATGTGGCCGAGAGTAGCGTTTCAGCTGAAGTATAAGCAGTGGTGGAGCCGGTCTGCTCAGAGCATGTAAGCCCATATGCAAGCGAGAATGCCAATTATAAATGCAGTGCTGAAGAGTGCCTCCGCTGATCTCAAGAGAGATGGGAACATAGCAGAGACCTGAATCCACTATGATCATGGGATCTGCCTCACTGGAGTCCATGACCCGAGACTCCCAGCGACCAAAGTAAGCATCCGGCTTGGCAAAATCAAAAAGATGCGATATAAAATCTGCCACATCATGTTGGCTGTGAGGTCGTTGCCACCCTGATACAGCGTGCTGCCACGGAAGTAAAGAAAGAAGGTGTATCCCGCCTCGTGCCTTGCTCAGCGATTGCATCGCCATAGTGAGCCTGCCAAAGGTAAAGGATGAATTGGATGAATGTCTTCTTTGCCCCATCCACCACAGCAGAAAGCAACAAGCATTCAGGTAGCAGACATTCGTGCGGTTTTGCAAGTAAAAAGAGGGCTCGGGACGGGCATGCCTCAGGAGGTAGGCATCGCCGTGGGTTCCGGTTCCTCCGTCACCTGTGCCGGCTTGGTAGCTGCTGGGTCCTCCACCGTCGCCTGTTGCCATCCGCTGTATCCGCTGTAACGGCTCTGTCGGGTCGGCCCTGGCGGAGGATATCGTTCGGAGATCACTCGAGCCAGAGGCTGTCGCTCCATCTTCGCCATCTTGAGCCGAAGTCCGATCACTTTCCCACTCATGTGGTGGCAAAGTTGCCGCATAAGGCCGTATGCCCGATGCGAGTCCTCCTCTCGTAGCCCCAGTGACAGGAGAAATGTCACCGTCGCTCCCTCGTACTGCTCCGCCATGCGACGTGTCGAGTGGAATCGCTGCAGCGTCGTGGGATGCTGCACGGTTTCCTGCAGCTGCTGCAGAATTTCGATCACCTTGCTGTGCTCCAGAGGCTCTTGCTTGGTGTCCTTCACCAAGGTCGACTCGGCTGCATTCCACTGCATGAAATACCATCTGAGCTCCTGCTGTCCATCCCACGTTGTGGCGAAGCCCAGCGTCTTGACCTTCTCGCGCAGCTCCTCGGCCTCCGTGGTGGAGGCCATCATGGCCCGCATCCTCTGTAGCCATATTTCCAGAAGCCCCAGCAGGAGAGTCTGCCTCAAAGGGCAGTCGACTTCTCCCTTTTCCCGCTTCTCCTTCCAAATGATGGACAGAGCATAGAGTCGACTGAGCGCCGCCGCCTCCTGAGTCTCCAGGGTCATGATGAAATCCCGCTCCACCCTCATCTGGGACAGTTCGTCCTCCTGACGAAGACACAGCCTGGCAAGCAAGCGAAGGTTCTCCTCCATCGCCTGCATGTCCCCTTCCATGTGGTGGCGGCGAGACTGGTTCCAGCCTCCGCCCCCGCCCCCTCCCCAGCCGCCTCCGCCCCCGCCACCCCGCCAGTTCTGGCGGTTGTTCTGGTCGCGAGGAGGTCTCCTCGAGCCCTTCTGTCCACTCTGAGGCTGCTGTACATGCTGAGTGGGATTGGTCGATTGGCCCGGAGCCTGGAATGCTGCTGCCGCTGCCATGAGGGGATCCACCTGTACATCCACTGCTTCGGCCTGCTCCCCAGAGGCTTGTGAGGGTGCCGAGCCTTTTCCCAGTCCGCCCTGCCCCTTCGAGGTGGGCCGTTGGTACTTCGGCTTTGTTTCCTCCTTCTGCCCTGTTTGCTGCTCCGGAATGGAGCCCGAGCGTTTGCCCAGGGTGGCTTCCACATCCATTGGGGACATGTGCTGGAACATGTCCTTGACCTGATCCAGCGGAGTGACAGGAGTTGGTGCCGAGGTCATGATGCAGAGTGCTCTGCCCGTCACGTCCAAGGTGACTGACCCTCAAGTAGCATAAATGCTGCAGCAATGTGCATTGATGCCGTGTTGCAAAGTGACTGCCACAAGCACCGCAGGGACTGGACCTCACTAAGTGCACTGTATTGCACATGGATTTGACCTCCTTTTGCATGCCATAGATTTCCTGATGGGTATGTCGTAAATGATTTTCAAGAGAGCCGCTGCGAGAGGAGAGCCACTGCCCACAGAAGGCACAATGATGTCGAAGGGTTTCCCTGACCCCTGGTAGCTTCAGTGCCTCATACCATAGCCTTGTGCTAAGGACCTCCAGTACGTCTACTCTCCGTTGCAAAATATCATGAGATCCCGCAGCGAACTGCAAAGCAGATCTCTCTGCATTGCTGGAGGCAGCAGTGGTAGCTGTAGGTGGCTTATCGCCTTGTGTGTCCGATGCTGTTGGCAACCCATTCGGTACTGCATCACTATTGGATTGTAGAACCGCACATGAGTTCAGTATATGCATACGAAACTCCTGCCAGCCTGCAAAGCTGATATGGCAGTGCCTGCAAGTTGGCATGCCATCCACATTGTGCAAGGAAATGTCCAGAGCTTTATAGGCCTGGCTCCCCCGGGCAACCGCTGGTCTAAGCTTCACACCATGCTTGCGAGAATGATGGTTCTTGAGAATGTGTTGCGAGGGGAAGGCTATGCCACAAGTGGGACAGACATGTTGTCGCAGTCCTGGCTGTAGCTCTTGAAGCCCCTTCCATGCTCGGGTCGTCTCTGTCGAAGTGTTGGAGGGCTGCATCACTAAAGTTTGGGGATCCGCATATTTAAGAAAACAGGTTCGGATACTAGATAAATTTAATCTGAGCAGCAGGGCCTCAGTTGTCTCATGCGTCAAGTGAACCGGCGACTTGGCGATTGCCCTGACGTACTTGATGTCTCGGCGATGAAGAATCAGCAGTTCTTTCTCAGTCAGTTGTAGTTGCAATATGCCATACAAAAGTACGGTTCGCACACACGCTGTGTAGATGCCAAGTCGCTGCTTGATGCTGAGGTATCGAGAACTATGCAAAATTTTGGCAAGCCGTTGTCTTGCCAAACTAGCCGCCTGCAATCTGTGCCGGAGCGAAGCTGTTTCGAAGCGCCTGTAAGAAGCGATGATGCCCAGATACTTGAAGCTTTTGACTACCGGAACATCATATGTGTAAGCCCCATGTGAGAAACGGAAAAGCCATTTACCAGACACCTGTATAAGATGCTGCTTCTGCCAACGTGCTCCATGCGTGCCACCAAGTCTGAGGATCAGTGCAGATTTCTCTGGGTTGATCTGCATCCCGTATCGTTGATAAACGGATAGCACAGCAACCGTACTGCGAACAAAGAAATCAAGATCTTTGGCTGTGTCCAGATTCCAGTAACTGTGAGTATCATCTGCATACAGTGTCATGGACTCCCTGGGCCAGGTGCTTTGAAGCTGTTCCTCAATCTTGGCTAGCAGAAAAACGCTGAACAGTGCCCATAACAGGGGTGCAAGCGTGCACCCCTGCCTGACTCCGTTTTCCAAGTAAACCATGGAATGAAACCCCTCATGTTGAATATGATATCTGCAGGAGCAATGGGCATCCAGAATTAATGAGGTGAGGTCCGGGTCGACTTCAGCCCACTCCAGCGATTCTTTCAGGTATTGTCTGGGTAAACGATCGAATGCTGTACTCATGTCCAGTGTGAGTTGCGCACCCCCGAGGAATCGCGGTTTGGTCTTCCCCAATCTCTTGGCAAACACATTGTTCCTGGCTGCTGCCAGCTTCCGTCGGATATCGGCGCAATGGGCTGATACCCGTCGAATTGCATCTGCTGTGGAGCGATTGCGAAGGTAGGCATACTGCGGATAAAGTTCAAGCCTGTCCCTGATCTGCTCAAAAAGCCTATCCTTAAGAACCCGAGCAATGGCCTTACCAGAGGCATCCTGAATACCAAGGGGCCTAAGGGTTTCGGGTCTTTTAACGGCTTTCCCCGGCTTGGGAATGAGTGTCAGATTGCAATCAGCCCAGCGATGCGGATATCCAGCCATCGTCTCAGAATGAAAAGCTTCCAGAAGAGGACCAGCAAGGACCTGCCGACAGAACACCCAGGCTGTCGACGGTGCATGATTGGGCGGTACAGCTCTTCCACGTCCAAGTCTGCCCAATGAGGCCAAGACTTCTTCGTGTTGTAGTATAACAGGATCCAGCCTGGGTGCCGGTTCAACACTATGCACTGTCGTTCCATAGAGTGCCTGAAAGTAGGACGAGATCTCGGCGTGCTCCTGCTCCGGTGTCAGGAGGTGTCCTTCCAAGGATCTGATACGAACTCTGCCTCCCTGCATTTTAGGGGCAACCGACCTCACGACTTGGTAGAGTGCCCGCACATTCCGCGACTGTTCAGCCTGTTGAGCCTCAGCCAGTTTGTCATGGAGTATTTTCCGTCTGTACCACATACCCCGCTGCCTGAGCGTTTTGTATGCCCGTTGAAAAGCATGGTGTGCCTTGAACACCTGAAAAACATGTCTCAATGAGAAAAGCCGAAGTCGTACATCGTGACATGTGCGCTGCATGAGACGACGTCGATGCCACATTTCCCGAACTGAGATCTGCACGGAGTCCTCTTGCCAGGGTCGCTTGTTGTGGGCTTTGTCCCTCAACGGGTAAATTGAGACACAACTTTCAAGAAGAAGCTCGTTGAGGCTGTCCGCCGTTGGTTGTGTGAGTGTCTCAAGCTTGCCCTGCACCGTCGCCAGAAGTCGTACTGCCTGTGCATCGTGAGAGCGCAGGGAGTTTTCCAGTTGTGTGCGATCATATCCCACCTGTGGTTTAGAGGGTGGTGGAGCTGTGAGCCAGCCCGGCTTGAGTCCAACTGAGGCCTGCACCGGAACATGTCGTGCACCCAGTCTCCAAGGAGAGAAATCTAGTGACTGAACAGGCCGCGCCTGTCGAGAGAGATTGTCCGCCTGATTCCTCCTCGTCAGTACATAGTCAATCTGGCTCCTGCTGCTACCATTGAGGAAAGTGTTCATGTCGTTCTGTCCAGATCTGGTCCATGTGTTCAAGAAGCACAGACTGTTAGCTTTGGCCATGTTCAGGAAGTCATCCTGGTCGAAGTAGTACTTGTTGGCCGCCGGGGCAGCGAAGCCCGCTGTGCCCGCTTCCCTCCTGACAGCACAGTTAAAATCACCGGCTATTACCAGAACATTTCGCTGTGGCAGTGCAGCCAGACACCTTCCCAGTTGTGTCCAGAAGAGTTCTCGTCGTGAAGCATTGACCGCGGAGGTCTCCCTGCTGCTGATGACATATTGGTAACAAGAAATAAGATCGATACTGTAATGGATCCCGCTGAGGCGAACATGTAAGATACGGCCTGGAAGAATTTCCCGACATCTCGTGACATATTGCCCTGCCAGTTGTGAGCGGATAGCTACGGCCACCCCTGCAAAACGACTCTTATTGTCAGGGGAGCTGACTATTGTCCAGCCACCTGCCTTCCACTCGGAAGCCTCTGGACCAAAACCCCGATGTGTCTCCTGCAGAAACAGGACGTCATACGGAGCGTTCTGCATCCAAACAGCCATGTGATCATAAGTGGCAGAGGTCATGCCATCCAAGTTGACAGTGAGAATTCGCAATCTTTTCGATGTTGTATGTTGGGCCATGCGTCGAGTGTTTGGCTTCGCAAGAGTGCTTGTAGAACGTGAAAGGGACTGAAGGTCCCGACTAGTGTAGGTTCTCCCCCGATACGTGGTGCTGCCATGCTGGTTTGCTCTGCGAATCGCCCGCCTGTAGGATCGCTTCCTCGCGGTCGAGATGTCTGCAGCCCTTAGTGTGTCACCGGTTTCCCCACACGTTTTCGCAGACACCGAAGCGCCTGCTCCCAGTGATCCTGTGGGAGGATCACTAACCCTCGCATCTGTCACCGCTGCACACTGCATCGGACCTGCTAAAAGAAACCATAGGAAAAAGCAAAGCAGTGTGCTGTGACCTCGGGACTTGGGACCCGAGCGGCCGGTTGTTGATCTTCGCAATCGTGTCGTCTGTCGTTGCTGTGGATCTGGCACAGGTAATTGTTCATAAGCTGCTGAAAGCCGTCTGGGGTGCTCAGGTTGTTTGCCAATGAGCCAACATAAGCTGAGGTGGCCACCCGGCAGAATCTCAGAAATGATGTCGTTGAGGACCTGGCAAGCCCGCACAAAGACAGTGATAAGGCTACCAAGAAGACGAACGGGTGCACAGATAGGTGAGAGCATGGCCAGCACTGTTTTTCCCCATCGTGTGCCCTGGTTGTCGCTGGCTGGATCAGAGTCGGAGCAAAGGTCAGTCTCGAGTTTGGCGTTCATGTCCAAGTCCATACCCTTCCCGCTCAGAAGTGTCAGTGGAGAAGCCTGAAGTGGTACTGCTTTCTCCCTCCTCCATGCCTGCGACTTCGTCTTCTTCGCCTTCTCCAGCCTCCATAGTGAGAGCCCGGTCTGGGCTGAAGCCGCCTTGTTCAGATTCCGCATTCTCTGTCTCCATCGCTTCCATCCCGCCTGTGCCAGGCTCATTGTGCATGTCAGCAAGCGGATCGGCAACCAGCCCCGCCTGCATGTCCAGATCAGGATCCTGGCAGTACTGCTCAAAATCCCTGTCAGCTTGCTCCCGATCGATTCTCTCCGAATCAATGGATGCCGCCATCCATCGCTCCAGTGAATCAGAAGATGGTAGAGGAGAGTCTGCATCCTCATCCTGCCAAGGCGAGTGCGGATCTGCACCACCTGCTTCCCAACGAACTGGAATAGGTGGCGGCGGCCCTCTCGGCCGTATGTGCACCGGAGTGGTGGATCGGTCTCGGGTCGAGCGGCCTCGTCGTCCATTTCGTGACCTTGACCTTGATCGAAGAACCACTCTAGGAGATGATGCACTTGCCAGATCATCACGTGTTTGAGCATTCGAGCCCTCCGCATTTTCCCTGGCTTCGTGAAGTGCAACACGAACACTCGTCGGCAGGTCATCCAAAGGATCCGCCATACTTGTGGTGCCGTGTGGGCCAAATGGAGAGCCCGCAAGCTGCGCAAGTGAGCACGTGTCAAAGCTACTGAACTCTCTTTCAGCATGACAGGTAGCAGCAGAAGCACAAGAAAGCTAAGCCCAGCAGGTGCAGTGCTAAACAGTGCCCGTGTGACCTCGTAGTCGAAGTTGCGAGAGGTTCCACAGAAGCGGCTGCTGCTGCGCCTGTCCCTGTAGGCTCCACGAAGTGCCCTTCGAATATATGCAGAAAAGCGGCGGAGAAAGGCTAGAGTGCGATTAGTCCATCGCCTGTAAATCGTTTGCCCTGCCAATGCTGCTGCTATATGCACATGCCCACATACTGTGCCCAAAAGCAGAATCAAAGCCCACCGTGCTCCGAAGGAACTCCACCCGTTGTGTGGGTCGTAAGATAATCCATACATCTTGCCACACCAGCATGGTGGAAGTCTCATCCCAGTATCTATGATACAGATCATGCAGAGAGCAGCGAGCAGAGATGGGCAAGGGCCGTATGATTTGGAGCAGATGCTCCATAGCCAGGCGCAGCACAAAAGTGCGCAGTGCATCGTCCCAGAGCCACCACTTGGCACGTCTGGGGATCTTGTTGGAGCCATGCCCCGGACACAGCTGCATAAAAACATCAGTCGCTGAGGAGGCTGTGGTGGTGGCCATGCTTGCATATCGGAGCAAGTCCGGATTCACCGAAGCACAAGAAGCCCCAGCCCCAAAGAGCAACCCAACGAAAAACCACCGCCCCAGAAAAGCAAGACGACACTCAGCTGCCGAGCCGAGATGCTTACTACTACTACTACTACTACTACTGCTACTACTACTACTACGACTACTACTACTACTACTACTACTACTACTACTACTACTACTACTACTACTACTACTACTACTACTACTGCTCCTGCTCCTGCTCCTGCTCCTGCTCCTGCTCCTGCTCCTGCTCCTGCTCCTGCTCCTGCTCCTGCTCCTGCTCCTGCTCCTGCTTCTGCTTCTGCTTCTGCTTCTGCTTCTGCTTCTGCGACGACGACTACGACGACTGCTACCACTGCTACCAGTACTACCACTACTACTGCTACCACTGCTGTGCTCTTGCCGCTACTCCTACTCCTGCTCCCGAAAAGCCTAGGCAGGTTAGCTTGTGAGCCCGGCAGCGCTCCACTGCAAGGAGCCCAGCGCTCTCACAAGGGTGAAGGCGATCATGTGGCTGGACCTGGGGGTTTGAAGGGTTTTGTGGGAATTTTGAGGGTTTCCACAAGGATTCAAGCATGCTTTCATAGGGGCGAAGGATGTTCGGGTCTAGGGCTCGGGGACAAGGCTTCGGGAATAGAGCTACGGTGATCCCTAAACTTAAACGATAAGCCCTGAAATGTCGCAGCCCCTTTGGGCCCTTTAGGGGGAACCATGACCAAGGCCAGTGACAGCTGGCAGATGGCAAAGAAGCGCTCCCTCTTGTCCTTGAACCTGGGAATGGGAACCCTAGGGCTTTGAGGGCTCTGATAGATCTGATAGAGTGCTAGAGGCTGCTAGAGTCGAGCTCAGGGCTATGATAGCTATGAGCTTTCGGGGCTCGCACTTCATCAGCTCGGAATATCACGAAACGGCTTGAAGCAGTACTTTGGCGGCAACCTGAAATCAACCCAGACCGCAACAACAGCCCGACGCCAGAGAAACCAAGAGGAATCATCCAAGTCCTTAAATACACTGGCTCAGCCTGATGGGACTCGACCGAAGCTGCGAAGCTGTGCAACTCGAAAGCTGTCAGGCCCTGACACAAGCTCAGGCCTGGGCGCAGCCCCCGAAATCCTCTCTATTCCCCAAAGGCTATCACCCCTAACCCCAAACCCAAGAACCTGGCCTGCCGCATGCATCACGTCCTGACGTGAAATTCCTCACTCGTGACACTTTGTGTCAGGGCCAGCACGACGCGCAGCCCAAGCCCAAACTATGAAAAGATACGAAAACCAATAATGCTTCGATAAAAACCTTGAAATCCGGCTTGGTTTCAACCAAGGAACATCCCAAATTCCGCTTGCGCTTCCTACCGTCAACTCTAAACCCGAAAAGCAGCCTAGACCCTCAAGCTCTCAGAGCCCCTTCGAACCCCAGAAGCTGTGCCAGCAAAGAACCTGTAGATGAGATAGTTTGAGAGCAGGAAGAGCAAGACCGCGACAACACCATAGATCTGCGCGAGGCGAATGGGCCCTGCTGGAAGGTCCAGGCCAGGCTTCTTACCCATCACGATCCTTGGAGCTAAGATCTCTAGGGTCGGTTTCAGGGTCTCTCTTGGAGTGGCTGTTGCTGAAATCGAGCTCCGTTGCTCTGGACTTTCCTGTTGATGCTGAAGCTGTGCACCGTAGGCACCGTGCTTGGATCGACATGTTGAACCGGAACATGATTAGTTAAGAGCATTGAAGCCGAGCAGAACCTCCCTGAAGCCCTCGTAACCGCAAAACCTCTAAACCAAACAAGGGCCAAGGAACTGCTCGATCAAGACTCCGTGGAGGGCCACGCTGAAGGTGTTCGCTGCAAACACCGAGGTGGTCTTGCCTGGGGTTCTACCGATCCTCCCGCCTCTTCCTTTAAACGGCATACTTACATACTGCAGGGGCCTGAACAACTAGAATATTCTTTGGGGGGGGCATATCATACAATTTTGTTTGTAATTAGAGACTACAGAGGCATACCATAAGATATTACCGAAAAGATGAAAACTTATGTGTTGTTTGTGACCGAGGTACAAGTCATCTCCTCGACCTTCAACTTCTTTCGATCTGTATTGTGCGACATGCAGACGAGTACCATCATCGTCACGATGAAGAAAACCATCACCAAACCAAGAATCCATTCGGATCCGACGATGCCTTTCCCATGCTCCAAGTGATGGATCTCGTCTTCAAGCTTTATTAACTGTGCGTGTGCTTCGTCCTTCGCCAAGCACGTGTCAGCAAAGTCTTCGCAACAGTTGCCGATATTGAGGCATTGAGAGGTACATTGACACTCGTTGCCCGGGCAGAAACCATGGCATCCACCGAAGTTTGTGCAGTTAGCTTCTTCATTTCCGTCTCGTCCTCTCCTTTGCTCGCACATGGGACCCATCAGGGTGTCCCCTGCCGCGCGGCTTAATTCAGGAACTGCACCACAAACCGAACCTTTAATCCCTGGACAGCTTGAGAGGAGCCAATAAAACCCCCTCAAATCCCAAAGCCCTACGCTGTGGAAACCGCGTTGCAGGAGAGCGCAGTCACCAGTCTGGTCCCGCCTCGTCCTCTCGGGAAACTGTGGTGCGAAGGGTCAGACCCAAAGCCGGAAAGTCCCCGAAACCCACAAGCAAGCCCCTATAGAATGCAACAGACGCCATACAACAAAACCCCGAACAGCGCGCTGCTTTCACCGTGGGCCTGTCGTCGGTCGGCCGCAGCACCTGAAAAAGGCATAGGCCGAGGACGCAGAGCCCGAGGAAAGCAGCGATGAAGAGCTTCGAATTCTGGGCCACTCCCATCGTCGTCCACTCATAACAGGGTCTTAGTCCTGGGGTTAGGAGTCATTTCCTGGGATTTTGGGGGTCAGGTCTAGGCTGAGAGTGTAGAGTCTGAATCCGTCATGATGGTACTTAAACCCGAATACATTGAGTGTTGCTTTGATACTTTGCGCACTGGAACTTGATCAGGTATGGCCTGCGGCACATGGAAATCATGCATTCCAGCACTCTTCTCTCTGCAGAACTTGTCTGCTAAGCTCCCTGCAAGACCTGAGGTTACTATGGATGGTTTACGGCTCAAAGAGTGTCTGCAGCGTTCCGGCCTTGGGGTCTAAAGACTTTCTACTCGTGCCGTGCCAACAACTTTGGAGAGCATGTGCTAGTGCTGCCAGTGGCTAGTGGCTGCTCCATGTTGAGGGTTCCGCTTCAGGTCGCTTCTTGACTCTAAGCACAGATACTTCGAGAGAAACCGCATCAATGTCTGGGAACGCAGAGCGCCAAAACCTGTCTCTCGCCTCCACACCAAGGGAATCTCTGGGAAAACTTTGCTTGAAAGTGCTGAGAACATGCTCCGGTACAATCATAACCAGCATATACGTATATATGATATTTGTGTATACACTGTGTTCGGAGAAACCCCTGTTCGGGTTTGTGCTCAAACTCCGGGCATATCTGTCACTTGCACCATCTCTACCCCGACATTTATACGGAGTGAGTGGTTCAATACAGCTGTCGCTCTGCAGCATACCGTGCTGCGCCAACGCTGCGCCAACATGAACGCAGTCAGAACATGTGACGATTTGTAGGGGCTTTCATAATGGGAATAGGTTTTTTGGGGGCAGAGATCGTCGTATACTTGTATATGGACTGCAAAGGGACTGAGAAACTTCGAGGGCCCAGCCGGCGTCACCAGCACCTGAAGAGGCATCTTCGGCTTAAAGGCAGCTCAAGTTCCGGGCTTCAGGGTTTTAAGGTTTAGGATCTTCGGGTTTCAGGGTTCAGGGGCTTAGGGTTTTGGGTTTAGGGCTTTGAAGTTATTTTGAGTCTGTTCTTGCTCAGGGGGTTCAGTCAAGACCCCGGTGGAGCACTTCCAGGCGCTGCGAGCGAGAGTCTGGGTAAATTTAGGGGCCTGGAGAATTAGTAAGACCCTCCCTTTTGATGTTCTAAACCATGAAAAAACGAATAGCGATGAGAAGAACGAGCTGGGGCACTTCATGAGGACAAGCCAGCAGTACGAGAAGCGGTCTGTCATAATGGCTGGCAGAGCTCAACTGTCGAAGCAGCAGCAGACAAACACCGGCCAACACAAAAATGGTAATGGCCAGCACAATGCTTGTAATTCTTGCTCGATGCGACTTGGGCTTTGAATGGGGCAATACAAAGAAAAATCATCAAGACCAATGGCAAGAAAAGCGGCAGTGCTGGTCGTGATGGTCGGAGCGATCACAGTATAATCGCCGCAGTACGAGTAGTGAGACCCATTGCCACACAACTGAGCCTAGCAACCCAGCACTCGCCGACACAGCTTCTGGATAGTAGCACCGTTCTGCAACCCTTTGCAAACCCCAAGGGTAAGGCCTGAACATCCCTCGCCAAGCCTAACTGACTCCGAGGATCTGCTTAAGGTGCTCGCACTGGGCACATTGGCAACCAACTGCTTCCACCGAGCCTTCTTCAGCTGTGCTCGCAGGCCTTCACCCGCTGCCTCACGAAGCCCCCGAACCGAGGTGCCGGCTGGCACGTATAGCAGCCAGACGCCCAGCTGCGGCCTCATTCGGAATGGCTGTTCTCTCTCTTTCTCCCTCTCGCTCTTGCTCCCCCAACCCACACACGCACACGCACACACACATACTTCTACCTGCAGGCATATGAGCCTCTGGCTTCTGCACTGGTGCTGCTAATCTGCATACGAGCTTCAGAACGGTCGGATTGCCACCATTTATGATATGAACTGTATCTCAGTTTCAGCTTGTCACATTCTCAGCAAGGCATGTTTATAACGTGGATGGGGGCTGAGAGTCTAGCGGCTTTCAGGTTTGGGGTGCATCTTGACACTGACACTAAATCCTGAATACGAGTTGGCCAAATGCTTCTCTCGCAATCTGACTCTGGTACGCAGCTTGCACGTATGGTGCGGACCAACAGGGCTCTCACACACCATACGAAAACATATCATTAGGCGGAAGAAAAACATCAAGAAGCCCTAAGCCCTGAGCTGATGCCCGAACCAGACCCAAGCTTACCGCCGAAACTGCCCCAACATCCTACTTCCAGCAAAAAATGGTGAACGAGACGCGGCCAGGGCATGTCATAGTTCCAAGGAGCTTGCTCTTGGAGAGGTTGGCAGGGAAGGCTTACCCTAGATTCTAGGAGCAGGGAGGTATTCTGGGGGTTTGAATCGCGGGTGAAGCTTGGGAAAAGCAAGAACCTTAGAACCCACACTAAACCCAACACCTGAACGGAAGGGAACAACTTAACTTTGGGCTCCTTCTGCAGCCTACCAATATTGGCTCCCGACCACGTCTTCTTCCCGAGCTCGGACTTTCCGCGCAACCACTGGCCAGGTTTGAGAGCTGGGCTTCAGCTTCGATCCCTTCCGGAGTTAGAGCTGGCCTTTCTGGGCTCCCAGGGTTAGGGCTCCGGTTGGGGATGCCTAGGATGCAGGGACTCTTGGGTGCTTCGGCTTAAAATTTCTGCAGCTGCAGCTAAAGAGCTTTGCCCCAGCAACGATGATGATGACGACGATGGCCATGCTGAACAAGGATGCAGATGAAGATGGTGCTGATAGGGATGACTGTGATTTTGACCGGCGATGGCTCTTAACGGCAGTGACAGTGAGGCGATGATGAAGAGTATTAGCAACCACGCAAGATGATGCAACTACGTGATGATGATGATGATGGTGATGACCATGGTAAGATTACGATGACTCATCTGCAGGTTCGCCAGGGCCTCTCGGACGTGTATGGCAACACCAGTTGTCATGGCGAAGCCGAGTCCTTCCACACTCATGCAGCACACACTCTTACCGTCACCTGCCACGCCCATCTGCTGTCACAGGGCCCCCGGCCAAGAGCAGCAGCCAGAGCCGTGGACCGGCGCCGGTCCTTCTCGCTGGCTCTATGTGCACGTCTACCGGCTCAGCATTGGCAACATTCGCTTGCAAAGGTCTGGAGCTTCAGGGCATCCTTACAACGGATGACTTGGCCAAATCTAAGCAAAAAATCTCATAGCGCAACTCGGGCTGGAAATCTACACACAGTTCTTACTTTCCCGGCTTCAAGCAAAAACTATAAACCGCAACAACCCCAACACCCTTTTGAAAGCTTCGACACTCTAAGGACACAAACTCTCCGCCAACCCCCAGGCCGTGGGGCCTTTCGCGTTTGTAGCATCTTGGCTTCAAGAGCCAAGCGCTCCTGTGGGACTCGGGGCCCTTAAACGGGTTTGTGTGCCCCATTTTCTCAGGTTTCCTTTGGCCTTACGGGAGTCGCGTTTTAAAACGGGATGTTCTGGGATTTTGCATGAAGGCTCGTGTCTGTTGCATCTTGAAAAGCACGCTAAACCCATCAGCCTTTTGCAGGCCATTTGTCGTTCCTCCATGGGGAGCGCTCGCTTTGGCTTTGGAAATGGTGCCGCGAGGTACGTACGGGACTGTCGATGTTGAATTGGATGGATAACCGATTCTTGTTGCGAAGTGAGCAGACTTGAAGACACTGAGCTTTAACCCGAAACCCCATTAATGACGCCAGGCATCGGAGTTCTCGAAGTACGAAGACCATACTGTCGCTGCAAACGGCTTGTCAAGCTTCACGGCTGAGGATACAAAGCTGACGACAGACGATACATCTTTACGGAGTTTAAGGAAAGGAACGCCGCAGGTGCACGTTAGGCCTCCGATTGGAGAAGCCGACATCACCGTTACACATCCCATCTACCACTGCGAGCCCAAGGGGCATTTTGGACTCGACCGATCCTTCGGCCCAGTAACTGCGCAAAAGCCCGCTGACTCCCGTGGCTTCTGCGGCCCCGGCAGGTACGGCACCGTTTGGCCGCTGGAGCAGGAAGCGGCCACCTTCTAGAGATAGATAACATCCGTGTTATGGATATTGCCCCTAAACCTAAACCCTGCAAGCCCATAAACCCCACTAAGACCCCTTTTGTTGCTTGGCGGGTTTTGAGGGGTGGCCCTTGTCCTGTATCGTTCACTGCCGGAATCCTTCTGCTAGACATGAACCATGCTGTGAGTACTGCGATCTGGAACTGCGGCCACTGTGACCCGCAGATCCTTCAGACTTTAACATTGAATCTTTCCACCCGGAGTGTTGCTCCTTTCCAGCTGTCCGAATCGTCTAATCGTTCTTCTGTCGAAGACAGGACTCAATATGACCCAGAGGCCACTCGAAATTCAAAGGGCGCATGAATGCAAATGACTTGGTAAACGATCAGGAAGAGAATAAGTGCCAGAGCGTGTGATGATGCTGTTGCTGATGATGATGCTGAGCATCAAGAAGATGCTATTCTCATCATATTCATCGCCCATGTCGTCGTCGTCGTCGTCTTCATTCCTGCCATCGTCGTTGCAATCTTTGTGGCATGCTTCTGCTACTCCATTTTCGTTCCCTGCAGTTCCAATACTGATAGTAGTCTAATCTGTGATATACTATTCACATCACGGGTAATTATGATGGCTCCAGCAAGAACATGATGATGGATGATGATGCTGGCGGCGGTGGTGGTGGCGGTGGCGGTGATGATGATAGCAATGTAATAGGTGGTGATGCTGCTGTTGGTAGTACGTTGATGGTGGTGGTGGTGGTGGTGTGCTTGGGCTTTAGGTTGTTCAGTGGGTGCTGGGGTTCCGATTGCGCCCAAGCTTTCGTTACCCTGAACCCTCACGTCGCCAGCCGCAGAACCTGCCTCGGACGATGCCGCCGACCTACTGAAACACAGCAGCGAGGACTTTGGTGCGTTCAGGGTTTGGCGTAGGGGTTCTGCGTTAAAAATGAAAACAAGTTCACAGGTTACACCAGGATCTGTAGATGATTGGAGAAGTCTGATCCAAACATCGCGCTTGGCGAGGGAACCAGCTCAATCTCCTGGTGTCCTGCTGCCGACAAAAATCTAATCCCCAAAACCCAAAACCATCGACCCCCAAAGAACTCAAACCCTAACAACAAACCTAAATCCCGAGCCGAAAGAGCCCTGCAAGCCTTTGAAGCCCTGGCCTTCCAACACCCACAGTGAGCTGTTCCCACCTTCCCGGTGTGGAGCTCGCAGACGGAGGCCGGCATCCAATCCGGGAGGGGGTGGCCTTGTTTAGAGCATGTATGAGGGTTTTGCAGACGGAGTATGTCTTTGTTTCAAGAATTCCAAGGGCTTCACACGGGCCGATCACTGGCTGTTTATGACTATGACATTTTGGGGGGTGCTCAAGGATCTTCTCCTCGAGGTTCCCGTACCTCGCAAACGCTCGCGTCCCCAATTGAGACATCCTGTTCCTGAGGCCGAGGCTTAAAAACGGAGCCTCTGATGCCACGTAAACTCCTCGCACCCGAACCGGAACCTGAAGCCCTGAACACACTAAAAAGAAAGACTTTCAACGCCGTCCAACCTTAAACCACCACAACCTTCTACCCGAGACACCCCAACAACAAAACCAAACCCCATACTGAAGCCTACAACCCCAAACCGCCAACCCCCGACCGTGAGGTCCTAAAATGGCTCCCGAACCTTCCAGCCCCGCGCCTGCCCAAGGAGGGAGTTTCCTCACGAGATTCATGACCTTGGTTTGGGGGACCGAAGTGGTTTCGGGACTTTCATCCGGGGTTTAGAGCTTCAGAAAAAAGGGTCTTGGGTTTTGGATTTCGGCTTTGGATGCCCGTAATCTTGACTTTCTCTCCTGTATTCTCCTGTCAACTACAAGTCGAGAACGTCCCCACCCTCCATATGGGGTATGGGCCTTTCTGACGTAGAGCGTCGGGTTTGTGTGCAGCCTTCGGGCTTGGGTGCAAACTCGGATTTCTGAGACCCGCAGTCCCGCCTTCAAAAGATGAACCAGAAAGCTCAAGCCCCCGAAACCCCTCAATCTCAAGACTTTATGCCTTAAGTAAGGCCTAAACTAAGTTAGAGTTAAAACCCCAAACCTTAGTTCAAATTTGAGCCTTAACCTGGGCGACAGTAAGGAACCCTGAACGACCTGAACCCCTGAGCATTTTGCTCCCAAGCCCTGCACCCAACCTTTGTGAATCCTGAATCGAGGGACCCTAAACCCTTGGCACGCTTGGCCCCAAAGCCTTGTCAACCCGTGAATAGCCGAAAGCCTCCGGCCCCAAAACCCTCAAACGCTGAGCGGCCCTAAACTAAACCCTCCCAGACCCTTGAAGCATTCCCCAAAGAAAGCCCCAAAAGCAGAGCCCCAAAGCCCCAAACGGGATGGAAGTCCGAAGCGCTCTTCCCAATGGCGCCCAAAGCCAAGGGGCCGGATGGTCCGGCACGTCCACGCGCCCGGCCAGCCGGTCACCGAGCTGATGCTCGGCCTCGGAAAACTAACGGCGGACTTCGGGGAAGTGAAGTTTTGGGATGCCGTGGGTTTGGGACTTTGAGGCTGAGAATTTCAGCTCGGGACCTAAGTTCTACTCAACTTGGCTTTAAAGTTGATTTCGGTGCTGTAGACTTCTGAGCACGAGAAGAATCGTACCAAAGCTTGGGGGCTGTGCAGAGTTTTCGAGTTTCGGCTTGACTCTCGAGGACTTGTTGCTTTAGAAGTCAAGTTAATGGCATATCGCGCACCAGGAATGTGCCGCATGCTGCCACAGTCCCTTTTTTCCTTGAACACAGCGATCGGTTCGTAGCTGCGCTGCAAAACACGGCTACCCCTAGTATCGATATCATCGTTGTGCCTTATTGCATCGCTGACGGCAGGTTGCGCCAGGCTACTCCAGAATGGAAAGCTTATCTTCAACCGTTCGGATGCCAGCGTCAACTGGCAAAATGCACTCCAAGAAATAACGGCATCAGCGCACCACTGCTACAACATGCTACAACACACCGACACTACCCGCTGGCCAAGCCACCATCACCAACGTCACACTGTTCGCTCTCATCTTTCTCCTCCTCACCATTGTCGTCATCGTCAACCGAGCCACGAGCACCATCATTCTCATCCTCACGACACGCTCACCGCCATCTTGAACATCACTGCTTCATCATCTTCGCCTTTGAGTGAGTAGGCCTAAGAAGGACAACACCTCAAATCTCGACATCCATCAGGAGAACCAGAACCCAAGATCCAAAAGGAACGGCTTCTCACCGGGTCCGCGACAATCTGCAGGCTAGTGCTCGGCACGTGGATCCAGCCTTCCTTCGTCGCCGGTGAGGTGCTGCGGACACTGGTCGCTCATATGCATGCTTTAAAATAGCGTCAATGAATGTGCCCCTTGTAGCAGTGCAGCGGTGGATGCGGTACCAGCAGCAGTCGTCGTCGTCGTCGTCGTCGTCACCGCCGCCGTCGTCGCCGCTGCTATCGTCGCAGCCGCGGTTGCACTTGCTGCAACAAGCTTCTTGGGTTGGCTTTCGGGTTCCTTGCTTGAGATGATTCTCTTGATTCAGCCTACAATCGCTGTTGACACTGTTGGTTACTCTGCTTGCACGTCTTGCCGCTTGCCAGTAACGTAACAGCATCCTGAAGCTTTTATGCTTGCTGTTCCGACCAACACCAACACTGCCGCTGTGATCCGTTCTGCTGTTAATGAAACCCTAAACCCTAGAAATCCTGAAACCCGAAACCTGCGCCCGAAACTGTAAAGCTAGACTCGAAAAGCCCTAAAACCCGAAAGCCCCCAAACCCTGAAACCCCAAACCCCAACCCGAACCTTACTTAGATCGGGACAAGCCTGAATTTCGACTCCACCAGCAGAACTGCTGTCCTGATATTCAAGCGGCCGTTCGGACATCACTTCGACATTGTCCTGCGCAGATGTGACACTGCAGCTAATGCACACACACACATCGTGTCCGGCCTGCTGGCCGTATCCGTGCCCACATGGCATCTGCAAGTCATTCCTTTTAAGCGCACGTTGTCGGGCAACCGGTTCTCCCCCTACCATCACATGATGAAAACAACTAAAAAGGAGCCTGGCAAAGAACATCATGATTCAATCAGGATGCTAGCCGGCAGCTGCAAGACTTCAAACACAAGAGGTGACACACAAAAGATGGTTTCATTACTCATCCTGCATCAAGTTTCGGACTAGGGACTCACACTCAGACAGGTCTCCCTGCAGAGCTTTGTGGATATAGCTCGGGGCACACATCTTCTCCGCAAAATCAGACGCAGTCTTTCCACGTGCGTTCTTCGGCTCCTTCTTGGCATCGGCAAGAAGAAGAACTGCAGCTGCTTCGAAAGAACATGTAAGCAGGCTGCACATGAGCGGAGTTGCTCCTTGGTGATGGTAAGCGAAGGTGCTAAGGGCTGTCTTGGACCACCGGTGCCGAAGGGCGAAAAAACGGAGGATCAAACCCAAGGTGCTCATACAGGAGGTGCACATTGGGACATTCACATCTGCCCCGGCATTGATCAAAGTCGCCACAATCTTCCCCGAAGTGCCTCCAAAGAAGAACACAGAATGCAAGCCTGAACGAACAGACTCACTTGTGGTGCGTGGAAGCAATTCTCGGAGAGTTTCGAGGCTGTCTGTCGCACTGGCAATGGCGAAGGGCAAGTGACCCGTGCTCACCGCCTTGATGGGGCTACTGCCCAACGAGCACAGCAAGCCAATGGCATCCACATTGTTCGAAGAAGATGCCCAATGAATGGCCTCTGCTCCGTTACTGTCCTTCGCATTCACATTCGCCTTGAACGATATCAAAACTTGTGCGGCCTCGTTGTGGCGGAGGTAGATACAGGCTTGCAGCACTGTGATGCCTGCAATGTTTGGTAAAAGCGTTGCCTTGGTCTTCTTCAAGCAATCATGAGGGTTCGCTCTCGCTTCCAAGAGCGCACTCACCAACAAGGGGCTGCCTCCAAGAACGGCGTAGCACAGCGGTGTCCATCCGTTCGGACAAGGATCACAAACACTTGTCAGGCCATTCTGGTGTAAGAACAACTCTAGACTGTGTTTGGCCGGATCCGTTTCCGAAGACTGAAATCCCGGCACGACGGTGGCAGACGGGACAGCTGGCAAGCTCCTGTAGATGACACTGCGCAGATTAAAGAGAACCCGAAAGCTATGGAGGTCGTCCTTCTTTAGAAAGTGCTCCAATTTCCTATCGATCATGCCGGTCACCACTGCAGCGCAATGATGCAAGTCTCGAGAAACTGAAAAGCTTCCCTCGCCGACTGCCTTCAATATCCAATCACCAATTGGCGAACACACTTGGTGGTTGGACGTGTGCACTTCAATGGTGGAGTGTGAGGACTCCCGCTCACTAAGAATACGAGCTGCGAGTTCTAGCCGACACCATCCACGCGAGATGTAGGAACGCTTTCCCATGATCGTACCTTCCTGCTGGTGCTTCACCAGAGGGCAGAGCATGACGAAGTAATGACAAGTCTCCACGTAGCGCGGGATGCTCTGGATTGCCAATGTCCTTGCCGCGACGGCTTCCTTTGCCTGTGGAACACTGAACCAGTCATACCAAACTGACAGCTCGAAGGACTGCAGCTCCTTGGCAGGAATCTTCGGCTTGTCAAGGTACAACTCGGCCAAGATATTCCCGGATATCGAAGTGATTTGACGACTTATGAGCTTGGAGAGAAAGGATTGCAAGACCTGAAACTGCTCGAAGTCGGGATCAGGGTGACCGTTTCCAGCCCACTGATGTGAAACAAAAATTGCTGCGTACCCCTTACCCTCCCGGAAAATGTGTAGAAGGCCATCTGCCATCAAGTCTTCATGTACACGAAGGGTTGTCATATGAAGTACGGTCTCCATCGACACCACGTACCTTGGCTGTTCTCGGGAATCCTTGTGGGACTTCGTTCCTACCCAATCTACTAGTAGAACTCAGACAGGGTCTGTTCTCAAGAACCTCATAGGTACATCTCGAAGGGCGATGTGCTTGCGAAGCTCCGCATCTTGGCTTCATCACGGAGGGTCGCAGCGTGCTGAAGCAGCGCGCTGGGCTTCGAGCATGCCATGCTACCGCTACCGGTCTTACCCTGCCCCGAAGCCCAAGCCGACTGCTTGAGCCCACATCTCCAGCGCACGACCCCAGCATCGTTGCATTAATGTTAAGTCTCTCGTTCTTCCCGCACCACTCAATCGGCCTCAACTGTTTTGGCCGGAGCGGAGTCCCAGCCAGCTTCTACCTCGAAAACCCCTGCTGGGCTTCCTGATGAGGATGCCCCCCCAAGTTGCCATGGCCTCGCAAAGCTGCTACTTGCCGTCCTCCAGCGAGGCGCGCACGTGAAGCCAGGAGAGCTCGCAGTCGCTGGTGCCAGCCTCGGGACAATCCCGAATGGCTCTACACAAGCCAAGGAAACCCACCACCAAAGTCGGCAAAAATCTCCTAGCTGCCGCATGCGATGTGAGACAACATAATAAAGCAACATATGGGCACGTGCAAAGTCTAGCTAGACAGTATTATGAGACAGTATTATGGGTAGTACTAGGATGGATCGTCGTAGGGCTGCTGTCAAGGCGAATATTATAGTCACCATTGACATAAGTCGATGTTTGGCATTTGGAGTCAGTTCACGATCATCGGCAGGTCGGTCGGCAGATCGGTGGGTCGGTTAGGGGGGTAGGTAGGTAGGCAAGTGCCTGGGTGGACGGGTTCGTGGGAAGGCCCCCGCCTCCAGCGCAGCCTCTCCAATCGCCTCCAGCCTGGCACTGGCAGCTCTACAAGACCGCCCCAGAGGCAAAAAGACAAAGAAGTTAACCCTCTGGGGACAGGATGCTAGCCACGAACGGCCTTCAAAGACAGGTCTCGTTGCTTGCTCTTGAACTTTCAGCATGATGCAACAGAGTTTGTGTCTCGTCTAGGTGCTTCGGAGATGAGAGATTATATAGGGAAATACCAGCACCGCTCGTGCCAAGGCAGCTTCGCACGGCAAGGAGCTGACCAAGCGCGACAGTCCAGGGTTTAGTATGACAAGTAGTTTTGGGGTCAAGTCTAGGTGGAATGCAACAGATTTAGAGGTTTAGCTTCCAGGCTTACGTGTTCTGGCTCGCTTGTCCTGGACTGAATGTTGGCGGACACCTTCACACTTCAACTACACGCCCGACACCCGACAAGGCCCTGCGCCAACTTCAATAAAAGGATGCCGAGCGACTAGTTCCCGCTTCTTTCGCGCACACCGGCCCCTCTTAACTTAAACCAGGCGCCATAGTCTCAAGCCCGACCCGAAGCCGAAGCTCCACACCGTGGTTCAAACCCACGGTCCGGTGAGGAGCGGGGAACTAACCCCTTCAGAGTCCCAAAGTCTCGAACAGACTGCTCGATGTAATGCACACAGCACGAACCTTGACAGAAAAGTGAGTGGTCAGAGGCAACCTAGAGCAAAAAATTGCTCCATCAAGCAGAGGCATGGCATCCTTCCAACCAAGCCATACGGGGAAGACTTCGACAATGCTGCTGCTGCTGCTGCTGCTGCTGCTGCTGCTGCTGCTGCTGCTGCTGACTACGATGTCGATGATGATCATGATGATGATCATGATGATGATGACCATCATCATCAGGATGAGCCGTCATCAGCAGCAACACCAGCATCAGCATTACCAAAATCATCATCGCCATCATTATCATCAGCATCATGGTCGTCGTCTTGAGCATCATCATCATCATCATTTGTTCATCATCGTCTTCGGCACCATCACAAAACCAGCAATCATCACTATTCCAAAAGCAGAACTGATAGAACTATCGGAAAAGACTGGGTGATGACTCTGGCAACAACTGCGCGACAATGGTCAATGCTGCAGACGCCGGTAGTAAAGCAATCCCGGGCAAACTCTACGTCAAACCTTATGTGCTCTCCATACACCCTAAACCCTATAAACCCTAAACTCGAAACGATGGTGCCGGGGGTACAGCTCTCCGCTGCCGAGTTCTTCGACGATTTCCTCGGAACCCTCCTGGCATGCCGAAACGCGCGGCAGCAACGGAACTTGCGGAAAGAACCGCAAACAACTATGGTGATTAGAGTAATCTGGGCTCCGGGTTGATTACTGGCAGCACCCTGATGGGCAATAATCGACCTAGGGGATCACTGCCGGTACCAACAAAGATGATACAAAATAGTTGCCATCATCATCCTGACCACAGTGATTGTCATTCTCGTCCTCCACCACGGCAACAAGGCCAACACAGCACAAACAAGCCCATCAACAGAAAGCATAAGTACAATTATGTACCAGTACGAACACAAGGCAGCAGCAGCCACCACCGCAACAACAACCAAGACGACGACGACGCCGATGACGACGAAGACGACGAACATGCCAAAAGACACAACCGGCAACCGCGACAACGTCGAAACATGAAACAGGCTTCGGCGGTATAGTAAGAAGAGGAGTAACAGTAACGAAGCACAGCCAGGACAACAAGAACATTGGCATTTGCTCATGCATTATGCGGTTGCAAGCAAGTGCATGTCAAAATCATGCTAGGAGAAACAAGTCGACTAGTGATGGCAACGGCAAGCACTGAAGCAAACCTGACCCCGGGTAAAGCCACGGAGCGAAACGATGGAAATCTGGCGCGCAGACATCCATGCAGGAAAGCTGCATTCTCAACTATAAGCTTCGCTCTGACCGTGGAAACAACTACAGAATGTTGCAATGATGATGAAGCTCGTTCAGTGGCCATCATTGTCCCGGGGGGACTACTCGTGGGTGTCGTGGAAGCACGGGTAGTTGCAGTGGCGGCAGTGGCGGTGCTGGTGGTCGTGGTGGCAGCCACAGCAACAGCAGTAGTAGGATATGTAGTCGCCGTCGTAGTGGTCGCAGAAGCAACAGTAGCTAAGGCTATACCCTTACCGGTATCATCGCAGTCGCAGTCGCGAGCGCAGTAGCAGTGGTGGTGGTAGTAGTAGCAATAGTAGTCGTAGTCGTAGTCGCAGTCGTAGTCGCAGTCGTAGTCGTCGTCGAGCATTGACGGCTTCGGCCCTCAATTTTGGCCGGTAACGCTTGAAGATTCAACGATGCACAAGCTTGTGTGTACACTAGGCGACGCGTCTCCGTGTTGGAAACACCCTACTGAATTCAAGATCCTGTTCGCTGCCAAGTGGTGGCTCGCGAGTCTCTGGCGAGGACGAAAAGTCAGGTTGATCTCGACGCGAAGTCTCCAACAAATCACAGACCTCCTTTACATTTGCTGGAAGCTCCGTTCGAAAAAGAGCATGCTTGTAGACCTGACCGTCCGTCGATAAAGAGCTAGAGCAGCCAGCGCGCTCTGAATGCAGCTATCCGAGGAGTTCCACATCAGCCAGGATGGGATAATGATCCGAGCCACCTGAAGAGAAGTTGCTTCCGGCCGTCAGGAAGGGCCGTTTAAGCACTGCTTAACGTACATGCGCTTAGACATACACGCATGCATGCCTGCATTCCTACACGCCTGCATTCTGAGAATATGTATGTATGCACGTGGTACTCCTATCTGTGCCCGAGGATGCTGCAAATATTCATCCGTCAATCAAGCGTGAACGGGCTCTAATCACTCTAACCTCTTACCTCAAATCCGGATCTGCAAATTCTGAATCTAGAGCTCTCAAGCCTAAGTCTCAAACACCGAATCAAAAACCCTGCTGATAGCACCTCTACAATACCTTATAGCAACGCTAAAGCAGCAGGGAAACCCGCGACCCGAAACTCCGCTAGTTTTGGCCTGGTGGGCCAGGATTGCGCCAGATCCACGACTGCATTGTGCGGAAGCCTTTCGGCCGAAGAGAAGGGCACACACTGAAACACAGCGCCGGCATCTCAGTTAGGGCTCAAGTGGTTTAGGAGAAGGGGATTCCCCGGCCTTGGCTGATGGGCTGCGGCCTCGCATCTCCCCTCGCAAGAAGTTTTCTCTGAGGAGTATATTATATAGGGGTTGAAGGCTTCAGGCAGGGGGCTTTGGGGATTTCAGTCTTTGGGGTCTTGCCTGCTCGATGTTTCGTCCCTTTGTTTCAGCCCTCTCCACATACGCCTCTGGAGCTTGTGCCAAGAAACCTGAGGGCATGCTGCACAAAGCTCTAAAAGGATCTAGAACTGCTCATTGTTCCACGAAGCTGGATGGAGGAATTGTAGGTCTTCCACCTTCAGGAACGGTCCCTGAATGCCTGAAATCCGACCCACAAAATCTCGCCGGCACGAAATTGACGTCCTCGAAACAACCTTGCTGGCTGCGAGAAACTAGCCTCGGAGCACAGATCCTCTAAAATGGTTTCGTTTCCTACAGCAGGCACGCAACACAGCATCGATCCCAGAGCAGACGAAACGGGAACCCCGGAAAAGCAGAACAGCGGACTCAAGCAGACAGGCGCAAGGGAGCCCAGGGTTTGCGCGCGGAACAGGCAGAGCAGATGCATTCCCAAAGGCATGCCGTAGACCGTGCCTTCTGTCATTCTATCGGCTAGTGAGGTCGTCTGGAAACAGGTGCTGTGCGGCTTTCATTACTCAGCCCCAGTCTCTCCAAAAGGCTTTAAACAAGTCGGACCCCGTCCTCTCCAGGAAGATGTAATCCAGTCTCGCGCCGCTGCTATGCGTTGTGGCATCGACGTGCGCGGCGTTGACGTCGCGGAAGGCATCCCGGAACTTGAAATCAATCCTTGGGTTTAGGATCATGCGCAGGATTTGGGTCGAGGACCTTGCACTAGGACAACCTGAACTAAATTAAGGCCCTAAATCTCCGACCCCCCACAAAACGCGCATGTGGTGTTACGAGGAGCCCTCTAGAGGATCTATATAGTTGTAGAAGAGGGTTGAATGCCACCTCGGCCTTCGATCTTGGGCTTCCGACTTCGCACTCTTGCTCTTTCCAAGCAAGCTTTAAGCAGGGCTATTGTCAGACCGTGAGAGGCGACAGAAATGGGATGCAAAACAAAGCCCTCAAGACATCTCTGCTGCATCCAAAGGATATGCCCTAGACTCCCTAGACAGCATTCAAAGAAAACAGCGTTGCAGAGCCCGTCATATTCCAGCGCAGCCAACGTTGGCAAGTACAGGGCTTTTCACAGGATCCGGGTGTCGTTTAAGCTGTCGTGACTTTGGTTCCAAGGATCGGCTTCGGTTAATCAGGCTTCGGGTTCTGAAAAGGCCCTACAGGCTGAGAGGGCTTGGAACTGAAATGGCCGTGCCCAATATGCCCTGGGTAGGCACCCCATACAAAGGGAGTCCCCCAATATTTTCCGGGGCTCTTGTAGCTCCGCCCTCTTTCCGTGACCTCTGCACCCAGGTAGAGCCTCGGCGATGCGACACGGACCTTCATAAGTCTTACAAACCGAGTTGGTGTGCCCTGAGTATGCAGGATGCGAAACGACTTCGGGTTATACAGAATTGAAAGTTGGGACAGACAATCGCTTGCAGGGGTGGTTGCAGCTGCTCCTCCCTTGTACATCTGCTACTCCTCCTGCAGCTGCTGCTACTGCAGTGTAAGAAGTCGCCGTCTACGAAAGCTACTTCAACGGGCTGTTGCTGTTACTGTCCGAGGTGTCTATTTTGACTTTGAGGCTTCTAATGGCTCATCTCCGGAAGCGACGAACCTAGGGTATGCTTGCCGAGTGTTGGGGGCACTTCTTCGGGCCCTATAGTATGTTCAGTCTTCCCTTACAGCACCACCTGAAGGCCCCCAAACTCTCAAACCCCCACATGGACTCGAAGAACCAATACACCTCAAACCACGTCGCTGGGTGGATTTCCAATCCTCTAGGGCATTGAAATCCTTGGCGTTTGCGCGGAGCTCTCGATGACCAAAACTGTCCACCGCCCAGTTTAAGGCCTAGGGCTCTGTCCAGTTCTCCGACTTGTAATCATCCACGATTGCCAGACGTTTAGTGATTGGACGGCAAGAAGCACACATTCAAGGATCCCTGCATGATCCACGGCACGGAATCGCAGGTCAGGGAAATCCAGGTTTGTAAGTTCAGGCCCCCCTGAAAACAGCCAAATGCCTTGCTCAGCGTGGTCGTAGTCATCGTGTAAACGAAAACGAGCCTTGTACAGCTAGGTGGGATGTCTTCTCAGCGGACAAGGAGAAAATACAAGAAAAACTGTACAGTTACTACAGTATTCGGAGCCAGAACAGTCGCAACATGCAAACATGTCAGACGCTATCGATTTCCATCATCAATAAAGATCCCGACCAGCACCACCACGTCGACTATGGCGATCATACTGTATCAAAAACACCGCTACAGCCGAAGAGCAGCCACCAACCTCCACGACTAGTATCCTCATCGTCAAAGCGTAAGTAGCTGTGATAACGGTGGTGATGGTGGTAGTGGTAGTGGTGGCGCAATAGAATTAGTCGTAGTGTTGTAGGAGTACTAGCAGGAATAGGACTGGTAGTAGTAGAAGTAGTAGTAGTAGTCGTCGTCGTCGTCGTAGTCGGAGGTCACGGGTAGCAGCAGCAGCAGCAGCAGCAGCAGCAGCAGCAGCAGCAGCAGCAGCAGCAGCAGCAGCAGCAGCAGTAGCCGTAACGTTATCAGCAGCAGTAGCAGGAGCAGCCGCAGCACCGGATGAGGAGCAAGAGGATGGTGCTGGCCGAGGTGGCCGTGGCCGTGATGGGCAGTGGTGACGGTGGTAGGGCGGAGAGGCGGTTATGGTGGCGGCATTGATGTTGTTGATGTGTTGGTATTGTTATAATGCTATGCTTGTCACGAATACTCCTCGGTGCCGCTTGGAATCACTACGTTATGTTTCATTGTCGCTACGCAGCATCGCAGACATAAGCGCCGCTGAAGCTCGCCCATATACGCGATAGCCGCATCCGGAAACTCGGCAACCTTAGTGCAGGGGCAGGTTCTCACACCGCCTTGGAATCCCAATATCGGTCCAAGCCTGCGAAGATCAGGACTATGCAGCGGTGAAGCCCAATCTTCTGCTACGTACTCAGCATGAGCCAGATATCGGCTCTTCTGCGAATCAATGAACCACAAAAGTGTCTTGGCAACGCCGCTACTTAGAGGTCTTCATCCCTCCGTCTACGCAGTCGCAGCACAGTCTTTCATGGACTGGTGCAAGCCTTCGAATGAAAATACAACAGCTAGGTAATCCAAGCCCCAAAGCCAATCACAATCTAATGCTGCCCGTCCCTGACGCAGATCGCAGCTTTTTCGGCTTTGTTTCTCGCAACGAGGCGGCGAGAAAATTCAGGAATCTGAGACTGCCAGGTAGATACCCAGCAGCACGACGCCAAATGCCGCCCAGTTCAGTAGCGTCAGCTGCTCCGCAAAGAGAAATCGAGCGAGAATCGCAGCAATCACAGGGACAGTTAACATAGAGACTGCCACCAGGCTTGCAGAAAACCTGGGCTCGTGTTAACAAAACGTGCTTGAACTTATCACAATGGCGGCATGTTTACTGATGTGTACATACCTGCAATATACTTATATAGATGGACACATTCGCACCTATAGGTACATATTAATACATAGATGTATATACGTGTACATTTATGGGTGACTGCCAAAACCATTGTCACTTTGGGAAACCGTAACAAGACTGTACTCACAATTTTTCACCCTATAGTTTGGGAACCCAGAAGTGGCACTGAACTTGACAACCACCCATACATATAACATGTATAAATATACATGCGTATTCCGTTGGCATGCCTCCCTGTTCTGGTAGCTTCAACCGGTGTAGCTGCTACAGTATGAGCCACTCATAAACCTGTAAGACCCTACCTCAAACTAGGTACGTTAACACGCGCCCAGACGCTGCTTGAGGCTGTAAGCCAGAAGGCCTTGACCCAGCGCTTGCGGAAAAAGGGCCAAGCAAAGGACAGCGCACCACGCCACTGAAGTTCTGGGAAAGACCTGATCTTCGAGAACCTGGATAAGGTTTAGGGCGCAGGGTTCGGGGCGGGCTCTTGTTGAGGAGCTGAAACTTAGCTACCATACGCTGGGTTGTGTAGATTTATCAGGGCTGTATTTGGAGGTATTTAAGGATCATGACTCCTCATCACGAAAGCAGCCCATTTACCAGCCAAGCTCCTTACAAGAACCCTGATACCCTCATAAAACCCAAAAATGAAAACCCCAGAAGCCCCACGTACAGACACGCTTCACAGAGAAAGAGCCCAGAGGGCCCCCCCCTTGCAGGGGGACCTGGAGGAGGATGAACAAGAAGCTGCTGCCGATGCCACAGGTGCACATCATGATCCTGAGCCGGAGCTGCGGTCGGTCTCAGGGCCGGTTCCAACTCTAAGGGCTCTCTCCTTATAAAGCTAAGGGTTTCTTTTCTTTCTCTTTCGGCTTCTTGATTTTGGGGTTTGTGAATAAGAAAAGTCTTACTCCTGTCGCATCGCCAAGGATCGTGGGTGCTTCGAAATGATGGCGGAGCTGCTTTACCTAGGCTGGCGAATTTTCGGAATGCTCGTACATAAGTTCCTCTTAGTTTCACAAGATTAAGCTCATGAGTCTCGATAAGGGCAGCTTTAAAACATCTCCGTGGCCTGCCCAGTTACGACCAGGATGTTCACGGATGAAAGGAGCGCTGCCAGCAGCGCGGCCGCGTCACCAAGGTGGCCACGGTTCACCTGAGACAACCGGCAACTTCCACAGTCTAAGACAGGGACCTCAATAGTTGGAATCGCGCTATGGCATTTCACACGCTGATTATCATAAGGACCCTCAAGACTAGCTTTGGCAAGTACAGTATTCAGGCTTCCATATTGCAAAACTCTCTTCCTTTGCACGCTTGCGCTTAAGAAGCTCAAGGCGTTGCATCTTCTCGGAAGGTCCTGAATGAACGAAGATCCTGAAATCGAAGCAGGAGACCTTTTGAAGCCTCCTGCGGAGTAAAACACCGCGTATGTATAAATGTAAACATGTATCTACCTCTAGAGTACATGTACATGTATCTATATATATGTATGTAATGTGTATGTATGTGCATATAATATATATATATATATATATATATATATATATATACATGTATACACATATATGTGTATATACAAGTAAGTACATATAAACTTACATCTATATACATACATACATACATGCATGCATACATGCATACATACATACATACATACATACATAGATACATACATACATACATCTTATATTTATATTCATATATATATATATATACCTATATAAATATATATATATATATATATATATATATATACCTATATATATATAAACACATATATACCTATATATATATATATATATATGTGGCATGGAAATTTAGGGTCTATTTGGCAATCCGGCTCTGTTTAGGGGCTTAGAAGGAGTCAACGAAAACGACGACGACGATGACGACACCGATGTGCTCACGCCTGTCTTTTTACAAAACCACCCCTCGGTGCTCTGCCAGAGAAACTCACCCCTCAGGTTCGCGCAGCTACTCTACTTCTGCTGCTGGCGAAGCTGGTGTTCCTGTTGGTGCTAGTGCTGGTGCTTAGTGCTGGTGCTTCTGCTAGTGCCAGTGCTTGTGTGGAGGCTGGTGCTGGTGCTGGTGCTGTTGCAGCGTCGGTGCTAGTTCCACTCTTGCTCAGCTTCTCAGCTACAGGAGACGCGCGATCAGGCTTCCAGCTTCCGCCTGAGCTCATGCTGCTTTTAGATAGCTCTTTCAAAGCGCAGCTGCCGGTTGTAAGACCCGGACGCCGGTAGGCGGATAATCCGGCTCACGCGGGCCCTCAGGATTCCAAGGCCCTTTAGGGTTTAGAGTTCCTAGGTTTAGGGGTTTCGGGTTTAAGTTTCAGGGCTCAAGGCTTTTATAGTACCGTTTAGGGTTTAAGGTTTATCAGGCTTGTAGGGTCTATACGGTTTCTGTGGTTTCTGGTTTGAAATGCACGGCAGGTTGTTTGTGTGTGAGCGCCAACAGGGGCTCTGGAATCTTGAGACCTCAAACCGTCCAGACAGTCCGAAACCGTCCCGAAGCGACCACGAAGTTTCTGCTTCGATTGAGGCCGCGGACCACACTTCGCCACGGCACCTTTCCGCACTGAAGCTGTTTCAATGTACTTGCTCTGTTTATTTTCTTCAGCCAAGGCTGCCACACAGTCCTCCGTCTCCTCCTCCTCCATGTCCTCTGTCTGGACCTGAAGGTTGATTGTTTTTGTTTGCTTTACGTTCTGCCACTCTATGCTGCGGCCCCGACTTCGCAGCTGCTGAGCTCTCTGTCCTGAAGCTGTTTGCGTTCACTTTTTTATGCTTCACTCTTTTCTAACTCAAGGCTGCCACGCAGTCCTTCTTCTCCTCGCCTTTCTGGCCTTCCGCGACCTGAAGGCTGATGGTTCTCGTTTGCTTTACGTTCTGCTGCTTGATTGCCTCTTCACTCTTCTCTAATCGAGGCTGCCACCTCGTCCTCCATGTCCTCTGTCTGGACCTGAAGGTTGATTGTTTTTCTTGCTTTATGTCACTCTATGCTGCGGCCCCGACTTCGCCGCTGCTGAGCTTTCTGTCCTGAAGCTATTTGCTGGTATTTTCTCTGCTTGTTTTTTCTCTTCATTCTTTTCTAATTCAGGGCTGCCACGCAGTCCCCTCTCTCTCTCTCTCTCTCTCTCTCCTTCCCCGGAGGCATGAGGGGAGTGCGAAACCCCTCGGCCTTGTAGCCCCCCCCCGATGTTCGTGCGGCTTTTGGAGGAGTGTCTGTCTCTCTCTCTCTCTCTCTGTTTCTTTCTTTTCTCTCTCTCTCTCTCTCTCTCTCTCTCTCTCTCTCTCTCTCTTCTTCCCCGGGGCATGAGGGAAGTGCTTCTTTCTTCTCTCTCTGTGTCTCTCTGTCTCTCTGTCTCTCTCTCTCTCTCTCTCTTCTTCCCCGGGGCATGAGGGAAGTGCTTCTTTCTTTTCTCTCTCTCTCTCTCTATCTGTCTCTCTCTCTCTCTCTCTCCCTTCCCCGGGGCATGAGGGGAGTGCGAAACCCCGGCCTTGTAGCCCCTCCCCGATGTTCGTGTGTCTCTCTCTCTCTCTGTTTCTTTCTTTTCTCTGTCTCTCTTTCTATCTCTCTCTCTCTCTCTCTCTTTCTCTTTCTATCTGTTTCACTTTTGCTTTCTTCCTTGGTTTCTTGCAATCGAGGCTGAGGTGCGGCCGGCGTGCTAGCCTTCCTTATTCATGTTCTAGCCTTCCTTGCGATGTTGCGGCAACAGGCTCGCCTACGGAATCTTTGATTCGATTTCTGATTCCTTTATGTGATCAAACAAGGTTCATTAAACTTATCAGTGCAACGTCAAAACGCTGAGCAATGATGGCGTGTGAGCATTTCACAAGATCAATGAACCGGCACGGCCTCCTCGTCCACAAGACAGCGCTTCACGCCCTGGTGCAGCATATTCCATCAATCATAGTTTCGTATTTCTGTCCCAAGGCCGCGGCACGCCCCGGCTTCTCGTAGCCTTCACTGTCTTTCAGCAGAGCCTTGGTTCTCCTACTCTCGTTCTCTTTTTTTGAAGCTGCGGCAACAAGGCTGCGGCTTGGTGCTGCCTTGCCCTTTCCAAGAAGGACAACTGCACCTTCTTGTTTTTCCCCTCTCTCTTTCTCTCTCTGTCTCTCTTTGTCTCTGTCTCTGTCTCTCTCTGTGCCCTTCTTCTTGGCTTCGATTGAGGGCTTGGCCGGCACCAGCGACCGGGGAGCGATCACCTGCGATCGCCAATCTCTCAGATTTTCTTGTTGCTGCCACTCCCTGGAATCCCGGCCCGCGGAACTCCGCCCTTGAAGGCGGCGGGCACGTCCATGACTTGAATAGTTTTCTTTGCTTTGCTTTTCTGGGAAACCGAAAGTTTCTTCAAGTTGAGGCTTGGGCAGGCCAAGAAGTCAACCGGCGCCCCCTCTCCGTTGTAGCAATCAGAGCCAGTTTGCCAGCGGTTTCGGTCGCTGGCTCTGGTCTTGATGCTACTACTACTACTACTACTGCTACTGCTACTACTACTTCTGCTACTGCTACTACTACTGCTACTCTTACTCTACTACTTTACTACTCTACTACTCTACTACTCTACTACTCTACTACTCTACTACTCTACTACTCTACTACTCTACTACTCTACTACTCTACTACTCTACTACTCTACTACTCTACTACTCTACTACTCTACTACTCTACGACTCTACGACTCTACTACTCTACTACTCTACTACTCTACTACTCTACTACTCTACTACTCTACTACTCTACTACTCTACTACTACTACTACTACTGCTACTACTGCTACTACTACTCTACTACTCTACTGCTCTACTACTCTACTACTCTACTACTCTACTACTCTACTACTCTACTACTCTACTACTCTACTACTCTACTACTCTAGTACGCTACTACTCTACTACTCTACTACTCTACTACTCTACTACTACTACTACTACTACTACTACTACTACTACTACTACTACTACTACTATAACCACTGTTGCCACTAGTAGTACCGATACGAAGAGTACTCGTACCAATACTATATAGCTGCTACCACCTCCAGATATTCCATTGTATCCGCAGCCGATCCGAAAACCACAGATCGCAAGGGGTGTCCCCCTAAAGGCTTTTATAACAAATATGTTCCAAAATCATAAATAAAGCAAAGCCATACGCCAAATAGACCCAAAAGGTCCTACGTACATATATATATATATATATACATATATATACACATATACATGTACATATATACATATATCTATACACATATATATATATATATGTGTGTGTGTGTGTGCGTGCGTGTGTGCGTTTGTGTGTATAGTGTGTGTGTGTATATAGATATATATATATATATATATATACATATATACATATATATATATGTACCTCTATGGATAGGTATGGATTTATCTATGTATTTATTCATTCATGTATGTATATCTGCAGAAAGTCCTTATCTATATGTCCATCGATCGCGATACGAAACGTTTTCCTCCTCAATATGAAGGTGCAAATTTCCTAGTGTAAGGGTATGTTGAAGTATGCCTCACCTGGAAGTCCTCCACGCCGATGACTGTAACGCCTGCTATGGCAACAGCCATCCCCAGCAGAAACTTTCGGCTGCAGGTTTGCCGGAAGAACAACCTGAAGGCTCGTATGCTTGAGGACTTTATGGTCTTGTTCTATATGGGTTGGATGCTGTCGGGAATAGGGGGGCTCGACAAAAATCTGGTTTTCCGTTCGCGGGCTCCGGACGTTAGGTTACTAAGGATCCTACGATTTGTGTTCTGTGTTTAGGGTGCTCTGTGTCCCTAAAGTATGATCTCTCTCAAGCATGTTGCGAGTCTGCACCACTTCGACTTTCACTGTGCACAAGGGTGCCGACACACTATGAAGCTTTGTCCGCCTTCAACATTTGGGTAGAACTGAACTTGTCTTGAACTTGTCATAGTTGCAACGCGGCAAGAACCGTAATGTTGAATATCAAAGCGCACAGTGCTCCTGAATACGCTCGAGAGGACCAGGCGCCAAGGGTGGTAAAGATCGGCATCATGTTGTGGAGCAGAGTAGAATTGGCCACGCTGGTTTGAGTCAAGGACCTGAAGCTCTCAGGTGGAGACGAGATTTAGGGTTGGTGCAGGCTGTGTTTGTGCGTGTGCTTCTTTTTTGGAAAGCTCCTCTTCTTTCCTAGGGTTTAATAACAGCTTAGGACTCGCTATGGAATCTCTCCAGTCGAATCGGAAGGTGCACATACCCCCCCCATCTTTATCGGCATAGCTGCGTTTCTCCTGGATGTGATTTGCCAAGCCCAATACTCCCTCGGACCGAGCCGAGCGACCAGGCCCAGATGCTCAAAGAGCTGGAGAAGGCAAGGCCGGCAGTGAAAAACAGCGCGACATCTGCTCCACTTGCCTGGGCTTCTGGGCTTCGACAACTGGTAGCACGGGCTTCTAGAATCTTGTTGAATCTTAGGGTTCGATGTTGTCACCAAGTAAGGCTAGAGTGGCCGCACGAAGAGGCCGGGCTGGAGCTGTTGCAGTCCCGTCTCCGAGTTGGTACAAGAAGCTCTGGCCAATGTTCCAGACCACGAAGATAATGGTTGCGAACCCCAAACGATTGAAGGCCGCAGCATACGGAGTTAGCTCCCTCTCCGCAAACACCAACAGGATTGACGCGGATGCAACACCCAGTAGAGCTGCTGCCAAAGCAAGGCCGTCGATGAATCGATCAGTAGCCAATCCGCAGGCGCCCCAGATCCGATGTTCAGGAACTGCGGTGCGTTCTTGAAGCAGGGAATAATCTGCCATGATCACCCTCGCCGTCCCTCACAGACATCAAAGAGACACACTGACGTGCTGTGGAAGACTATCTCGATGCAACCCCTCAGGCTCCCGGAATGCTGCTTTGAGCTCCAGGCTACCCTTGATGCAATGTTCATGATGTGTCCACATTTTACATGTCTGGTTGTGACGATAATATCCAATCAGTCTCTGTCTGACTGGTCTTAGAATGCCTTTGCCTTCGCATGCTTCTTCTTCTTGTCTTTCCGTGTGGCTCTCTGTGAGCTGCCGGGGACGCCCCCCTCATAAGCCAGGTCGACAGCTCGGCGCGGAAGGGCGGAAGTGCCCTCATGTTTTGTTAAACACCAAACTATGCGTACGGAAAAAGCGAGGCGGAGATCTGCCAAGGAGTCTGCGAAGGACACGGAGGATAATTACGAGGCTTGGGGTCACCAGGCACTCCTTGCTACCACTACTCGGTTGCTCTCCTAGCAGTGTGGCCTCCACGTTCCAACCTCTAAAGCTGCAGTAAGAAAAGTCACCCGGAAACCGGCGATCCTAGGATGATGGCGGTGATGAGTGATGATGAAGAAGAAACTTGAGCGTGGCGACTGGGAAAACTGCAAGACATTGAGCGCAACAGTGCCAATCCGCAAAAGGAAACCCTGAACCCTAGACCCTGGGACCTAGACCCTGAACCCTTGAAAGCGAGGGTTAGAGTCCAAACCCCCAGACCGAGCTTTTGAAGTTCTAGCACGGTTTGAGATTCTCGATCGAAGGTCTTACTCAGGAATGCGGCTCAGCACTGCTGTGATTGTAGCCGGAAACCCAAGACAATGAATGGATTGTCTGGGCACCAGCGTCTTGGCATGCTCTGCAAAGTCCAGCGCGTTCTGGAGATGGATGGGCTCGTTGCCGCAGCATACTGGGTGTGCTCCGTAGATGATGACCTTCAAAAACCACAAAATTCTGAGTGGGCACACTAGACACCCAAGTCCAAGCCTTCTTGCCGGAATCCTTATGTTTCCTCGGCTTTCTGAGGGAACCCACAGAGCCCCAGACGCTTTCATTAGGGAACGTACTGCTGATCCTCCAGAAGTATGATTCAGAGTAGATGGCTTCATTGACCTTGGGGTAAGGCTTGTGATTTTTAGGTTCGGTTAAACCTTGCTGAACACTCGGAGATGCAAGCAGGGCTTTGACAAGCTCGACACCCAGAAGAAGCAAAGAGTCTTGGTGATCTTTTCCTGTACTCTTCTGTACCCCCGATACCGGAAACGGGGTGCTCAAAGTTCCGTGCAAGATGCTATGCGCACATTCATGCCTAGTCCAGGTCCTATAGATGCCCATGTCAGGTCTCAAACTCACCGGTACAAAGAAGCCACGCCTCGTACTAAACCCCTCGGTTCTTGCCTTTAGCCCGAATTCTTCAACTCGCTGAACCCTAAAACCTGACCCCTAACCTTCGAAACCTGCAAGCCGTCCAGACCCTAGCCCTAGATCTACTCTCCCTGCAGAGGGTTCCGAGCCAGGCATCAGCACAGCCCAGCTTAGGCCGCGGTTCGCCCCCCAGTCCATGATGGAATCCTTCCTCGGAAAAAGTTGCAAGGCTCCTACGGGGGTTTGGGATCTTTAATGGGGCCTGCTAAGCCCAACAGACCCCCTGCCTGCAGTCGCTCACTGGGGCTCCTACCAACCATCCGAAGCTGCTGGTTCAGGGGGCAAAAGCGCTCTTGCGCTCGCACTTGCACGCACGCACACACACACACACCGCGACCGACAAAGGAGAAAGAACAGAACCTGAATCTCCAAGCCCAGCATCACCACTTCGAAGAGGTCGGCCCTGTAAAGGATGTCTCCGTCCCACCACTTCTCCTATCCAAGGCGAGCACGTCAGGCAACCTTCGAATCTCGTCGTGGAAATTTCATTCAAACCCTTTAAAACCCCTGGCTAGCAAACAGCCAAAGCTGCCGAGCAGGAAGCCGAACCGATTGCCTTTGTCGGGGGATCCTTTTTTGAAGCTTTTGAAGCTTCCTTCCTCAAGTTTCCCTCTTTTCGTGAAGTCCTGCGGGCCACCGAGGCAGAAGGCGTAGTATTTATTGGTCTTCTGCTTGATCTTCCTCGGTCTTCGCAAAGAGCCAACCCCCTTGAGCCCGCCTGTGCAAACATAGCGCGAGAATACAATTGTGCATCTGCTTCTCCCCCTTTCCATAAGCATTGAAGCAACCGCAAAGCTGCAACCCAGTCCGAGTAATTTAAAAGAGCATACACCCGGCGTTTGAATCAAAAGGGCAAGAAAAACCACATGAGCCAATAACCGCGTTCAACTAGAGTTTAGAAAATGACACCACGCGGAAAATAACACCACGCCGTAGTCTGTCATGATGGCGAGCCCTTTGAATTACAGAGTGTTGCTGCATAAAGTCTGTCCATATCATGCAGCCTGTGCATCCATCGACAGCTGTAGTTATCTGATCCGTAGACAAAAATATATGCTACATGCGATACATGCATGTGTACAGAGAGCCAGCGAGACAGAGGCTGAGTGTGACAGAGACAGAGCGAGCGAGCGAGAAATTGAATAACATACTTGACCTTAGCAAAAAAGCTAAACACAAACCACTACCTGAAGGCATGTCATCACAGCGCAGCACGGCGCAGCATCACTGCCGCATACGTACATAGCCACGCATATGTAGAGACCCCCTTTATGCACGCTAAGCGTTTGCATCTGCGACTCTTACCTGCCGCGGGGCACGCTCCACGCCCAAATCTAGAATTGGCGATGCTCCGCTCATCATTGTCATTGCTACGGGTAGTACAGGCATTACCATGATTCTAGTGCTACTACCATCACTTCTGCTATTCATGCTCACTTCCAAGTCTGCCGAGCATCTCGAGGATTGTCGGCTTCTCCTTCCACTGCTCCTCAAAAAGCTTAGGCTGTGCTAGGTAGTCAGGGCTGGTTGTCGGCTTGAAGTCTTCGGGTTCATTGCTAAGGCTCGCATGGCATGCGGCTTCGATTTTGCTGTTTTGTTGTCATCAGGGGACGCTCGTGCCAAAGCAAACTCTGAAACTTCGGAAACCCAGAGCCAAAACTGCAGACTTGATCGTGGCCGGCACAGAATCGCTGGCTGTGATGACTACTACGACTACGACGTCAGATGATGGCAATTTCAAGTGTTTCTGTCCAAGAACCTATCTCATTTCCATGCAGCTACGATACTCCCACAGGTGTACAACATCAATATTTCGGGTACGAAGCTTCGTGACTTAGGAAAATCGGGGAGATATCGCAGCGAAGTCTCTGTGATGACGGCGATGTCGGGTGTCATGTCGGCAATGGCCTGAAAGGCACAGCCACGTGGGGTTTGGGCTTGCGATTCGGGCTCCGGGTTTGGAGCTCTGTCGGTTTAGAGCTTTAAAGCCTCAGGTCACGACGCAAAAGAAGAATGTTGGTGGCCTTCGCCTGCGAGACTGCCAAACCCCAAAACCCCCAACCGGAAAGGTGGCCGGAAGTACCTGCAATATAATGCAATTGTCGGGGTCTTGTTGGGGTTCATCATGGAGCAACCAGTAATCGGATACATCATTAGTCATGCTACTCGTTATTCAGGCCTCCGTAGCAACGATTCGGCCTGACACCCGAAGAGCTCTAGACTCTAGAGGAGTCGCAAACAGCATCTGTAGCTCTGGCGTAAAGGGAATTTCACAAACTCAGAACCCTCGGCAGCGCCAAGATTCCTTAAGAGTCCGGAACCCTAAACCCCAACAACTCCTACACCCTAACCAAATCCGGAACCCTAAGACCTGAGATCCCCGAAAATCCTGTCACCTGGGCGATGCCATCCATGCGGTCTTCTCGGCCCAGCGCCGCGTAGTAGACGTTGAAAGCCATGAGACCTGGGGTCGAGCTTTTGGGTCTGGGGTTTGAGCACATGAAGTGTATGCTTCTGGGGTTTAGGGTTTGCGGTTTAAGGTGTATTGTTTAGGGCTTGGGGTGCTCGTTGTCGGGTTGAGGGTGAAGTAGCGTGGAATTGAAACGACTCAAAGGCTCCAGAAGGTTCGCAAGTGCAGGTTTCGAGTCAGATCAGAAGTCCACAGAGACGAATACTTGGAAAGAATCCTGAAAGCGTCCGTACAGTCGCAGCAGAAGTAGTAGTAGAGGCAGAAGCAGTAGCAGCTAGTAGTGCTAGTAGTAGTAGTAGTAGTAGTAGTAGTAGTAGTAGTAGTAGTAGTAGTAGTAGTAGTAGTAGGTAACAGGCCCTCCTGTGATCCGGGTCAGGTCTTGTCTTGTTGATTCACCGATATGTTGTTCCAACTCTATTATATTAATAACTGATATACACATATAAATATGTTCATACTGTGTATTAAAACATGACTATGTGTAGTAACAGTAGATTTAATGGTAATTTTCATAAAAAACACATATGTATATACATGCATGTATACATATATCATGCATATATATATATATAGAAATGTCTAATAACAGAATGACACTTCCTACTAAGTCTCAGAGCATAAGACGTATACAACTTCCAAAAGATTTGGAATATCTGAAACATCTGAAAGATCTGGAATATCTGAAACATCTGGAGTTTGTTCTAAATGTTTGTAAAAAAACTTCAAGTATGCAATACACTTCCTCATGAGCTATTCTCGCTTTAGAAACAATACATGATCAGATTCATCGGTTACTATCGTGTCTGTATTTACAAACCTCAGGTGATCTAAATACGCACTTCAGCTGATTCAGGATATTCCAAATATTCCAGATTTTTCAGACAGTTCAGACTGCACTTTGGACATCTGAAATATCTGACATCTGTCAAATATCTGAATAATCTAAACCGTTACAATTAGTCAGTTCTGAGGATTCTGATATCGAACGTGTTGCAACGCGACAAACAACACTGGCAGCCAATACCTTGCAGGCATATTAGATACTTCAGATATTTGCAACATTTCAGATCTTCCAGACGTTTCAATCAATACCGACAGTGCGTCAAACCAAAAGTAG